ATGTGCCCTGGCAGACCATAAAGTCAAAGTGCGAGAGAGAGAGAGAGAGAGAGATGGTGATTGTGAAAGAAGTCCACATTGTGAGGAGAGGGAGAGGGAGAGGGAGATAGTCATTGAGAGACAATAACATTAAAATAGAAATAAATAGTATAAATATATTTTTTAAATGATTTTTTAATTCTTCAAGGTTTTGGACAGTGTGTGATGCAGAATGGGATGAAACGATAGGGCTAACCCTAAGTAAGTACCCTAGAATGACTCTCACATTGGACCTATGAATCTATGAGATTGACTAAGACAAGTTTGAGTGGTTAGTCCACAAGAATTTAAACGGATCTGATCATCATAGTAAAAGAACTATCGCGACTAAGGTGCTTCACTCACAACAAATTAATTAACTGATAGTCAAGGGATTCTCACACCCACCATCGACTATAATAATGTGTACCTATCTATGGACCATTCGATGAAAATGGTAGAGACAACATACTAAATAAATAAAATTTTCAACTTAGAAACAAAAATGGTCTAGATATTACCTCGATGCAAAAGTGAACATCAGTTCGAGGAAAGGGGCAGATGCCTCTCTCTCTCTCTCTCTCTCTCTCTCTCTCTCTCTTTGTATTGGGGTTTGCTCCTCATCTGAGTTTGCCTCTTCCCCTTGGTGCTCTTCTCACCTGCATCGTTGTCTCTTCCCCTTGATGCCCCGACCCAACAACTGCAGTCATCTGGACAGTGGAATATACACAATGCTGTCCTGAAATACTCCCCATGAAGTAGACGTGACTATGCGTTACAGAACACAGTAGGGTCACAACTAGAGAGTGTGAGTCCACATCAGGCCATCGAGCATACCTTATTGCCGCATTGAATCTGAAGAGCATCATGATTTCCCACCCTCTCAAGTTCACACTACCGTCAGACAGGCAATGCCCAATCGACGTCACATTATCTTTAAACTCTGTTGTTCAACATGATATATACATATACTGATGCGGAAGGATTTGAAAAGAATGTGAAGACTAAAATCAAGCAAACTCACTCAAGAATTAAAGCGAATGTGAGTTGACTTAAAAATCATCTAGAAACACCCGCAATTGAATAAATACAAAGGATCTAGCAGTTTAAGAAAACCACTAAAGGACACCCCGATTTATCACGTCAGAAAATATTCTTATTATAGTTTAAGATATGTCGAATATCAATAACTGTCTATCATATGGTCTCTCAGGCAACAAAGAGCAAGAGAACATATTAAATGCACAAATTTAAATCGAGAAAGGAAGGAATTTCACTATTGTTGTGGAAAAGTCACCGTTCCGTTAGAGATGGTGCAGAATAAGCCACAAGTTCCTTAGCAAAGACAAACATCAATTGGATCTCTAGAAGTTTTGACTTGTCTTGTGTCGAAGAAGAGCGGTGTTGCGAACGTAGCTCAATGGGTATTGACAAAAGATGAATGGAAGAAAACAAAAGGCTCCAGATCGAGACTAACGGGGTCCTCTCGACCAACCCCAGCCAGGGCGACGGGATCAAAAGATCAATGATGAATCACTCATCATAAACTTTCTTGAAAAATAATCACTGCTTGTCTTAAAGTCTCATGCTTATTTTATAGTTTAAAATAGTAACAATAAATACAACTAATAGTAAAAAAATTCACTCTTTTCATAGTGTTTATGATTCTGTTGTGGACGTTGAGCACTCTGAAGCTGTTCTTTAGTTATTTTAGTTGATTTTCTGTCGTCATCCTCATTGAGCTGTTCTGTCGGAGATTGGTTCTGCTGAAGCTGTTCATTTTGACCAGTTCCTCCATTTCCTTTCAGCTAATGACCTAGCTGAGGATGACTCGATATTGATCAACTCCCCTCAAGTTGGAAGAACTTGGCTCTGTCGAGTTATGGTCCATTATATGTTGATAACGCTTCCACCAATTGGGATGTAGTTGCCGCAAATCATCACCTGAAATCCACGAATCATTCAATGGAGGATGATTTTTCTAAGGAATAAAAAACTATTTTTCTCCATTAAGATCAGATATCATTTGTCCATCCAATATATTCCCTATTTGCTCTTGTCGCTTAGCAAAATTAGCTAGTGGACATTTAGGTGCAGTTTCACTCACAATAAATGGATTAGTCTCAAATAACTCACTAGGAATATTCAGTGATCTATGATAAGGAATAAGGTCTGAAATGTTAAAAATAGGACTAATTTTCCATTCAGCTGAAATATTTAAAACATAAGTATTTGATCCGACTCATTTAACAATTGTATAAAGCCCTGCTCCTCGAGCATGAAGTTTCGAGATAGTTCTAGTAGGAAATCGACCCAGATGTAATCTGATCAAGACGAGATCTCTTTCACTAAACTCTTTGGATCTTTTTCATTTATTTGCTATTCGTTTATAGTTTTTGTTGTTAGCATTGATGCGGTAATGTATTTCCTCATGTAAATTTTGTATGTGTTTAGCAAAGGATTCAGCTAAGATAGAGATTCTATATTGCGATATAGATGAACATAATTCGACAATTTTTTTAAGCTGATTTTGATAGACAATTTCAAAGGGACTAGATCTCGTTGTATGGTTGACAGAGTTTTTATAGGCAAATTCTGTAAGAGAGAGAATTTGATCGCAAGTTCCTAAATGATCACCTACGAGGCTTATTAACAAGCTTCCCAAGCTACGATTAATTGTTTCAGTTTGACCATCTGTCTGAGGATGAAATGCGGTAGAGTATTATAATTTAGTGCCCATCATGAACCAAAGAGTTTTCCAAAAATAACTCATAAATTTGGAATCATGATCATCCGTAATGGTATGTGGAATACCATGCAATCTTATGATCTCATTAAAATAAATCCTAGCAATTTTTGAAGCATCAGATGTCTTTGAACAAAGAATAAAGTGAACCATCTTAGAGAATCTATCAACTATAAGAAAGATAGAATCTTCCCATGGACAGTGTGGAATAGATATTTTGTTTAGTAAATTTAGCTAAAACACAAACACAACACTGAGAGACTATCTTAGCTACACCCCTTTTTAATCTTAGCCAAAAGAAACATTCTCCAACTAAATGGATGGTCTTATCTCTTCTGAAATGACCAGTTAACCCCTGCATGTATTTCTTAAATCAAAAGGTCTCTTAGAGAGGCTCGTAGAATACACAAACGGTTATTATTATAGAGATAACTATCTTGAATTAAATAATATTGATGTTCTAAAGATGGTCCTTATGTAAGTATTAAGTAGATTTCAGAAAAATTCAGACAATCATGATACATGTCTCTAATATGTTCAAATCCCATGATTTGTGGCATGAATATTTTTAGTATAGTAATCCATCGACTTAAGGCATCAACTACACAATATTCACACCCTAGTTTGAACTTTAGTACAAATATAAGCCTGTACGAACTCAACCCAACGACCATGCCTAATATTGAGTTTTTGTTGTGATTGTAAAAATCGAAGGGCTTCATGGTTTGATAGAGAATAAATTCTTGGGGTAATAAAATAATGATGCTAATATCTAAGAGCTTGAACTACCACATATAATTCTTTATCATAAGTTGAATACTTTTTTTAACTTCATTAAGTTTTTCACTAAAATATATCACATGATGTCCTCTTGACTAAGCACCCCTCCTATTCTTATTCCCCACGGATCACATGCCACTTCAAAAGGTTTCGAAAAATCAAGTAGCCTAAGAATAGGAACTTTAGTCATTTGCTATTTTAAATAATCAAATGCTCTAGATGTTTCCTCTGTTCAATTGAATTGTCCTGATTTCATTCCATTTGTGATCGGGGCCATGATCATGCTGAATTTTTTTATAAATCGTCTATAAAAAGAGGCCAAGCCATGGAAACTTCTAAGATCGTGTATATTCTTAGGTTTAGGTCATTCCACAATAACTTTAATCTTTTGAGGATCTGTGGTGACTCCTACAGATGTTATTATAAATCTTAACAAATTAACTTGTTTAGTGAAGAAAATGCACCTATGAGGAGTAGCAATCAATGATTCCTTTCTCAAGGTATCACAGATCATGTGTAAATGTGTAAAGTGTTCGTCAATTGTTTTGCTGTAAATTAGAATATCATTAAAATAAACAGGGATGAATTTTCCTAAAAAATATCTCAACACCTGAGTCATTAATTGCATGAAGTTACTTAGTGTATTAATAATCCAAATGGCATTACTAGCCACTCATTAATCCATCTATTTTTGAGAATATAAAAACTCCAACGAACATGTCTAATAAATCATCTAGTTGAGGGATGGGAAATTAATATTTGATGGTGATCTTATCAATGGCATGATTATCAATACACATCTTCCAGATTTCATCTTTCTTTGAGACTAATAGGGTGTGAACTACACAAGGGCTGAGGCTTTCCTAAACAAGTCATTTCCTTAATAATTCTATAATTTGACGTTGTAATTCATCATGTTCTTTAGGACTAAGTCAGTAATGTGGGAGGTTTGGTAAAGTAGATCTCAAAATTAAATCAATGGCATGCTGAATGCTTCTCATGGAAGGTAATTGATTTGGAAGATCTATTGGAAAAATATCTTGGTATTCTTCTAAAAATGTCTCAACTTCTGTCAGAAGTACATCTACATTTTTTCTTGGTTCTATATTTAATAAATATGTTATCCACACTGATGATCTAGTTTCTAATTCTTTTTGGAGGGATCATGCACTAATTAAACTAATGCTAGGATCTGGAGTAGTGTTATCTCTCACATTTATCTTGGGTTGAAAAGGACACCATGCTATCCTTTTTCCTTTATGGATGAAGGAGCAGATGTTTGATCTTCCTTGTTGTCGCACGTCTAAATCGTATAACCATGGTCATCCTAATATCAGGCTTCCTACGTCCATGGGTATTATATCATAGAGTATATTATCCTCATATAAATTTACTTTGAGATTAATTAAATAGTATGATTTGATAGAAATATTAGTAGAATTAATCCACAAGACCTTGTAAGGATTGGGATGGGCAGTAGATTCAATCCAAGCTTGTTAATGGTTTCTTGAGAAATGACATTAATGTTATTCCCATTGTCAATGATAAGCTTGCACATATGGGAAACTATCTTGACATAAGTGTAGAAGATAGAGGTGCAGAGAGGATTTTCTTCGTATTTTAGTTGGGTTAACATACATCTCACAACTCTTAATCTTGCATCTTTGGTGTAATCAAGGGCTAAGACAAGATCAGCTTCATATTCTTCTTCTATAAGGTTCTCATTTTATAAAATTTCTTCAGAATTTTTTAACTCACCTATTAGCAAGCTATGTGTTGGTCATTGAGCTACGAAATGTCCTAGACTCTACACTTAAAATATGTAATTTTTGTACTTGTTGATGCATCCATAATCTTTTTTCCTTTGTCTACCCCCCCATTATCTCAGGTTTTTTTGTATAAGGAGCTACAATCTGTGATTTGCCTAGTTCTTCCTTCGGTGGAGTGGGGGCTAGAGGCCGTGATGATGGTATCTGCACATTAAAACGTTGGTATGGGTTTATAGAATGAATCTAAGTCTATTACAAATTGATATGCTTTTCTAATGTGTAAAAAAAATATTTCACAGACTAAGTTATCTCCAGAAATCCTTTCAAAGTTTGGTTCGAAAATGAGATTATGTAACCTTAGGGTCTTCATTTATCCCACATATGAGCATTAACTCATTAAACTGAGTTATGTATTATATGGCTGGTCTATTACTTTGGGAAATTCTGTTCCATTCATCTAATATTTTGGTGGTATAATTTACAAGTATTTTTCACATAATTTAGCTTTCATCTCTTCTCAAGTTCCAATTGGTTCTTGTCTCCTTAATTCTAATAATTGAGCAATCTTCCTCCAATATGTTTTTGTGAAAATTGATAATTTAAGATTAACATATCATATTTTCCTAGCTTCAGACATATCATACTAATAAGTCTTCATTATCATGAGTTAATAATTAATAAATAATATAGTTTTAGCCTTAACTCATGATAAATAGACTTATATTTATATTAAAGTATGAAAAGTAGTTTTTAGTTGATTAATGTGAATTTTTGGCTAATTATGTGATTTTTTATAAATTTATATGATTTTTCTAGTCTTATTTTTGAGATAAATGAAGAAAAAGAAATAAAAATAAAAATATAGCAAAATAGAGGGGTACCCACCAGCTAGCCGGGCCCACAAGCGGGTTGGAAGCGTAGTTGAAGAGGAGCCACGAGTAAGGGCTCGAGCAACTAGGACCGATGGAGGCACGTGTGTGCCACTCCCCTTCCACGTCACTAGCGGTGAGCCGACTGTGGGGCAAGGAATGGTCATACACGCGTGAGAAAGGGATTTGCTTGCAAATATAATATTACTATATATTTGCCTAAAACTTTAGCGCACAAGCGATGTGGGACTGAACCCACGTCACACCTTCCCTAAAAAGGCTTCGATGATTTTAATACCTATAATACTCTTTATTTATAACAGAGATATACCATGATGATGTCATTTGATAAGGGCATTAGAGTACTTATTTCAATCTCTCTTATGTAGGCGGGCAACTGGCGTGGGTTCGAATCTTCCTAAAGTCAAAACTCATATTTTTTATCTGATTATCGTGACTTTCCTGTAGATGGCCGGTAACGGATTAAGCCGCTAGAATTGTTGGATCATCAGTGAAAATCTCGTCAACGCGATTCGCAGAGTATTGTTACTAAAATTGTTGAACGATTCGCGATAAAAGGATCGTGAATCCATTGAGTAAAGCATCTCAGATTGATCGACGAATAAGCCGTCGTCGGGAAAAAGACGATTCACCGAGAGACGAGTCACTACCTCCTGAAAGCATACCGGATGTGATGAAGAACTTCCACTTGTTGCACGGACCTGAGGATGAAGCTCCCTGACATGCGCCCCACCTCCATCCAGCTCTTCTCCATCAGGTGACAGCTGTCGGAGAGCCGCAAAGTTGCCGTTTTTTCGCTCCGCCGGGTGACAGTTGCCGAAGACGATTCAACGACCCATTTCATTGATTTTTAGACTTAGCAAGGAGATCTAGAGATTGCCCACGTCGTCTTTGTCCAAAGAGAGCCTTCGAGGTCATGAACATTGCACGACGATCCTCCCGAACGCTCAGGATTCCGGTACATCGTCAACGCATCACCGACGCATCACCGCCGCAATGCCGAAACTCTGTTTTCTTACTTTCAACTTAATTTTCGCTTCATTTAGTGATAATTTGTATGATTTAAATTTACCAAGGTATACTTCATTTAATTACGATTCTTCTAACTTTTATAGATCTTAATTTGATCAATTAAATCATCTGTAATCGCTTACGTAAGTATCACCGAGCAAAACTCTGTTTCTGCCCGATTCGCGTTTGCCAGGCACTAACGTCATCCTGATGTCCGCACCCTTATTTTCTTTTTGCGTGAATTTTAAATATATTTCATTTTCATTTCCTAGTGTAAAATTCATAGAAAATAGTATTCTTTGAGAAAAATTCTGAATAATTACGTGATATTTTATTACATCCATGTGATCGACCTAGAAAATTACTACTATTTTTAGAACTTTTATTGAATTATAATTGATATATTTGTTCAGAAATACTTCTAAGTATCTGAAAATTTATATTTTCTAATTTTTTTAATTTTAAATTTACATGATTTATTATACAATGACTAAGTCACGTCACATACCATCCAAAATAGCTGTCAATCATGACCTCACAGTCTAAATAAGTTTTTAGATTTTTCTTCCCTCAAACATAGGTATATTTATCTAGACATTCCAATGTGATGGGTCAGTATCTACGGTTTTCTTAGGGTTTCTATTCCACCTAAGATTGTCTTGTTGCAATGGAGGAAATCTAGAATTTTATTGAGTTTCTAATCTTCCTAATCATATTCATTTCTTCCATAAGTAATTTTGCCCATTGTAGAATTTCCTATTCCATTTGAGGTATATGATGATTTTCTTCTATGGTGTAGGGCGTATCAGAACGGGTAGGCATGCAATTGACTTGAGTGGTGGTATGTAGTTGGGAGATCTAAATCGTGATTATGAGTCCTTATCGGTATCGTAACTTGGCTCTTATATCAAAACTGATGCAGAAGGATTTGAAAAGAACGTGAAGACTATAAAATCAAGCAAACTCACACAAAAATTAAAGCGAATATCAGTAGACTTTGAAATCATCTAGAAACACTCGCAATTAAATAAATGAAAAAGAATTACCAATTTAAAAAAACCACTGTTGACACAAGAGGAGAAAACTTTAGAATCTATGTAGTCTCATGAATACATGACTCTTATATAGGTGAGAGGAGAGAGGAGAGATGAGAGAGAGAGATAGATAATGAGCTTTAGTGGGCCTAGAGTCCAATACCATTATCAAACACTCCCCCCTAAGTTAGAGCATACAAGTCAAACATGTCCAACTTAGTACACGTGGCATCGTAAGAGATGTTGGCTAGACTCTTCATGAAGACATTTGTAAACTGATGAGATGATGTCACATGAGGAGCAGAGATAACTTTAAACTTAACTTTATCTTGAATGTAGTGACAATCGATCTAAATGTGCTTTGTACACCTACGAAAGGTGGAATTGTCGACAATGAAGATGATGACTTGATTGTCGTAATACATGGGCATTGGAGAGGGAAAAATAATGTCGAGATCATCGAGAAGTGATTGAAGTCATATCATTTCTCATGTTGTCTCAACTATAGCTAAATACTCAAATTTCTCACTAGAACATGACACCACCCTCTATTTTCAGGACCACTAGGTGACTAAGTTTTCGTCAACGTATGTGCAATAACTCATAGTAGACTTTCAGTCACCCTTACCACCCACATACCCGACATCAGAGTAAATTGTAATGTGAAGATCGTTGTGTTGCCAATAGATGAGTCCTTTCCCGAGAGATTACTTGATGTAGGCGAGGACTCATAGAGCTCCTTCTCAATGAAACTCGTTGAGACTTCTACATAAACTGGCACATAATGTCAGGGTGACTAACGGTAAGATATATCAACTTGTCTAACAATCGTCGATATTAGTTAGCATCCTCGAGTAGGGGAGATAAAGTGTCTCAGAATTGTGAGCATGCTTCCATGGGCAAAGCCTCTAGCTTGCACCTAAGAAAGCCTATCTCTTGAAGCATGTCGAGAGCATACTTTTGCTAAGTGAGGGTGAGCTTCTCGTCCTGATACTCAAACTCAATCTCAAAAAAATATTGTAGAATCTCTAAGTCGCGAATGCTGAGATGTTACTGCAAGTAAGCTTTGGTAGCAGAGATGTCGGCCTCATTACTTTTAGTCACAAGAATGTCATTGACATAGACTAAAATAATGATAAGGCTGCCCTCTGTCTTCTTCGTGAGCACAGTAGAATTTGTAGTGTAGGAGACAAAGTCAAAGGTGGTGAGTAAATCACTAAACTTAGTAAACTAAGCATGTGAACTCTACTTGAGCTCATAAATGACACGTTGCAAGAGACACACACCTTCGATTACTCCCCCTAAGCAACATACCTAAGAGGTTGCTCTATAAATACCTACTCCGTGAGATTATCGTAGAGAAAGATATTACAAACATCTAACTGATGAAGAGATTATGTCTGATTGACGACAAGAGAGAGGAACACACAGATGGAGTTGAGGCAAACAACAAGAGAGAACATCTCAATATAGTTGATTCCATATGTTTGTGTGAAGTCTCGAGTAACTAAATAAACTTTGTGACGAGCGATATAGCCATTCAGGTGATACTTGATGGTAAACACCCACTTGCACGTCACAATGTTGGTATCGGTCGGGCATAGAACTAAATACCAAGTCCTCCGAGCGACTAACATAGCTATCTCTGAATCCATGGCTGCCTTCCACACATGTACTTATACACCTTCAACATACGACTGTGGAAGCGACTTGGAGGTCACAGAGAAGACAAAGACATGAAAGGAGAAAGAAAGACGATCATAGGAGACAAATTAGGAGATGGGATGGTGGGTGTAGGTGCGTGTACCTTTGCAAAGGGCAATAGGGAGATAAAAGTTATTAGGTGGAGCATCGATCAAAGGTGCAGAGAGGATCATAGGAGAAGAAAAAGAGGATACTACATTTGAAATAGGAAGAGTCATAGAAGACATGGGCTGAAGAAAGGCGGGCGTGAGTAATGACCTCAAAGAGAGTGGACAAGAGAGAAGAGAAGAGGGAGGGTCCACAAGAACTACCAAGGGAGGGAACCCAAGTGGAGGAGACGTAGCAGCCCGAGGAGGAGTCAAAATAGGAGAGAAGAGAGGAGACTCCTCATGAAAAGTGACATCAGCTGAGATTATATAGCGATGGGTATCAAGGAAGTAGACATGACAACTTTTTTGCATACAAGAGTAGCCGGCAAAGACCCTTTTAAGAGCACACATGGTAAGTTTAGAAAGAGAAGAAGATGAATCTTAGATGAAGGTGGTGTATCTAAAGATCCAAGGAGGAAAAAAAAAGAGGAATATCAAAGATTAAGCGATGGAGAGGAATGGTCCCCCAAGAGAAGTATGTCAGTTCTAGAGGTAAGTGGTAGTCAGAAGGATGTCAATCCAAAGATAGTGGGGGACATTTATCTCAAGAAGAAGTGTGCACTTAGCAACAAGTTGATGATATTTACACTTGGCAACATCATTTTGTTATAAAGTGTGAGGACTGGTGGTTTAGTTGAGGATGTCACGATCATCGCAGAAGGTATAGAGAGATGCTTAGACAAACTCAAAAACATTATCAGTAAGAAGAATCTTGGGCGTAATTGTGTATTGGGTGATAATTTCGGTGATAAAGTGGGTAACCATAGTGATGACCTTAGAGCGGTCGTGGAAGAAGTAGACCTAACTCACACAAGTATAAGTATCAACAAAAATAATGTAATAGTGATGGCTTGAGATGGAAGAAGTATGAGATGAACCTCATACATCACAATGGACAAAGTCAAAGGGAGCGAAAAGGAGGATGTCATCACGACTAGGATAGAAAACACGGTGATGTTTGCTCAGTTGGCAAGACTCACACACAAACTTAGAAAAAGAAAGTCATGGTAAGATTTTTTATAATTTAGAGAAACAAGGATGGCCTAAATGACGATGCCACAAAAGAGAAGAAGTAGTTATAGAGACGACAAAAAGAGCCTAAAGGCCAAATGAGGGTTCGTCAAAAATAAATTCATAAGCATCCCATCTGTTTTCACGGCCCAAATTAATCCTCCGTTTGGTATTCAAATCCTAGAAAGTATAGTGAAAGAGAAAGAATATGATTGTAAAAAAGAGAGAATAGGTAATAATACTGATGAAAAGAAGGTTAGTAGGAAAACCAAAAATGTAGAGAACTTGGGTGAGGTGAAGGGAAGGAGAAGCTGAGGTGGCATCATGACCTTTGACCAGATAGGTCCAACCATCGACAATGGTGATAGGAGGATAGGTCAGGATAAGCTGATAAGAGGAGTGGAATAGTAGGGATATCAGTCATGTGAGTGGAGGCCTCCGAATCAATAATCCACAATGTTGAAGAGGAAGCAAAGAGAGTGTATGTACTTGACATGGAGGAGGCCGAAAGTGAGTCGAGACTAGTAGAGATGGAAACATCAGTACCATTGGCACAGTGAAAAATGTCATATTCAACAGGCATCAAGGTCACGTAGAAGGTAGGAGTCAGAACATGAGATGAAGTAGGGGACGTTAGAGTCGGAGAAGTTATTGTTAGTTGTGCGAAAGTAAACTTGCTGAATTACTTCCAACACTTAGTAGCCTGATGATTTTGCTTCCCGCAGTAAAAACATGAAGGAAAAGTGTTGTGCCTACGTTCGCGAGGAGTACGACCATCGTCAAGGTGGGAAAGAGGGATATCATCTTGAGTCCATAGAGCAGCAACGACAAGAGCCAAAGGAGTAGAGGTGGTGTCTGGAGAGAAAAAAGAGTGGATGAACATATTAATAATGACCCAAAGGACCGCCGAGAAGATAGAGGCGAGATCAAGCATGCAATCCCTAGAGAGAATAGCCCCTCAAATCTGGGATGTGATGGAGGGATGAAGTCTATTGAAATAAACTCCAGCATAAAACTCTTGATGATAGCATTGATAGATATAAACTTCTTGTATGAGGACCTAGAGGCGACCGTAGTGGGCTTGAAGAGAGAGATCGCTTTGTTTGAAAGAGATAAGAAACTCAAAGATCTCTACGACATAGTTGATGTTCGTTCGATTGACGTACATGGTCTCCATAGTGAGCCACAAGAAATAGGCTGAGGTGATGCACACTAGTGGCTCGGCAATGCTGGACTTGATGCTCTTAAGCATCCATGTGATAATGGCCGAGTCAAGTTGTGATCATGTCGCATACGAGGGGTCTCAAAGGCCAAGTGGGTCCTCCGAGAGGTGATGGGGGAGACTGTGAGATGTAAGAAAGAGCTCGAAGCCAGATGCCCACGATACATAATTATAGCCGTTGAAAATATATGTCGGTCCTCTGGTGGAGACACCAGAGAAGAGGAGGAGAGCAAGAGCACCGGCGAGAGGCGATAGTGGCAAGGAGGGCGGCACCGAAAGGAGAAGAAGAGTGACGGCAAAAACAACGACATCGGAAGAGGGAAGAGTGGCGACACTAAAGAGCCACCGGAGGAGGGAAGAGATCAGTGAGGAGAGTGGCGCGTTGGAGACGGGTGGCGCACTAAAGAGGAGAACAACGAGGGATACCTAAGGCTTTGATACCATGGTGACATAAGAGGAGAGAGGAGAATACATGACTCTATACAGCCTCAAGAATACATGACTCCTATATAGGAGAGAGGAGAGATGAGAGAGAGAGATAAATAATGGGCCCTAGTGGGTCGAGAGTTTGATACCACTGTCGAACAACCACTAAAAGGACATCCTGATTTATCACATTAGAAAATAATCTTATTATAGTTTAAGATCTATTGAATATCAATAACTAGCTATCTTATGGTCTCTTAGACAACAAAGAGCAACAGAACACATTAAATGCACAAATTTAAATAGAGAAAAGAATGAATTTCACTATTATTGTGGAAAAGTCACCATTTAGTCAGAGATGGCACAGAATAAGCCACAAGTTCCTTGGCAAAGACAGACATCACTTGGATCGTTGGAAGTGTTGACTTATCTGGTGTTGAAGAAGAGTGGTGTTGAGAATGTTGGTCGATGGGTATTGACAAAAGATGAATGGGAGAAGAGAAAAGGCTCCAGACTGAGAGTAACGGGGTTATCTCGACCAACCTAAGCCGGGCTGACAGGATCAAAAGATTAATGATGAATCATTCATCATAAACTTTCTTGAAAAAAAATCACTGCCTGTCTTAGAGTCTCTGGAGTTGTTCTTCAATTATTGTAGTTGATTTTCTGCCATCACCTTCATTGAGCTGGTATGTCGGAGACTGGTTCTGTTGAAGCTGTTTCTTTTTTGACCAGTTCCTCCATTTCCTTGCAGCTGATGACCTAGCTGAGGATGACTCATACTGCATCGTTTACATGCTTACCAAATGGATATGGGGCGACCATGACCTCGGCACTCCTCAAGTGACCCATCAGCACCAGTAATACCAGAACTCTAGACTACACGTCGTGAGAAGATAGCGGCAACAACTCTGATATGGCATGTGCAATATGGTTCGAACTTGGGTAGGAGATACTTCATAAATGTGATTTTATGGGTGCACCTTACCGCATCATGATGGCGGAAGCGATGGAGGGCCTGGTGAAGGCAGCAAGGTCCGGGAAAGCGGCCCAGCTGAAGCCGGTCCAGTCGCCGGGTCAGTGGCCCAAAAGGATGTAGAGGAGCTGGCCTAGCACCACCACCCACCAGGAGATGTTTAGCGAGGCGGCGGCTCCGGGGAGGCCCAGGCCAAGCCGCACGATGAAGAGTCGGCAGAGGAGGAGGTGCAGCAACAGCGCCACCGCAAACACCACGGTCATGGTCATCACCTTGCTTTGCGCCCAAGGAACTTTTGGATGCGGAAGTTGGCCCCATATGCGAACAGCTGGGGGTTCATGTACAGGGAAAACCGCCCGGCGAAGACGGCGATCCCCTCCGCCTGGCTAAAAAGCCTCAGGATCGGCGTGGCAAAAAGGTAGATGGGCATCAGGCAGAGGCACATGGCCATGAGGATCAATCAGGACCTCTGCATATAGATGCCCGTCATGTGAATGTGAAAATAATCGGGGGGGCTGCGGGTTGTTTGGTGTGTGTCTGTGTGTGCGACATAGGTGGAATAGGAATCGCAAATTCACCGTCCATTTAAGTATCCATGTCTCTAAAGTATCAAAGCCAAGATAAAGAAGGTGCCAAAGACTAAATACAAATGAAAAACCACTGAAAAGTGACATGTCAAGATTTACATGGTTCTAAGAAATCCTCCTCCAACCACAGAGAGAGCTAGAAAGTTTATTTGTTTATTTGATGGAAGAACAAATAGAAACAGAGCCTTACAAAAAATCTAGGCATCTTTCCTTAACTTGATGCCTGGTGTATTCTTCTGACCCAAATACAAGAACTAAGAACCCTACCTTCTCTTCTTACCTCACCAAGACTAACTTCCCCACTTCCGTCCTTACATTGTTTTAGGAATGCATTGTTTGCCAAGAACATATGATTTACAGAAAACAACTCTATAAGATTTTACATCCCGAAGTAAATTCTAACTGTTCCATTCTAACTTTTTTCATTTATATCACCAACCCTAGCCGCCACATTTCATCCTCAAAATCAGATGCGGCTGATGCATCACCAAATACAATTTCATTGAGAAACTTATATAATGATCCAATTTTCTATCTTTATATTAACTAAAGTAGCTTTTTATTTCTTTTTAGCAAACCATTGGTGCTAGTGTTGGTGCAACCATTTGCATGGGGAGATTGGACTTTCTCTTAAGTTTGGTACTTTTTGCCACACACCTAGCATATATCAAAGTTTTAACTATTATATCAAACATTTTAGTTTTTATTGTTCATATCCCAATCATTCTTCACGCAATATTATTACGCATGAGAATTCTATCTTTATCATGGGATGTAAAAGTGTCAAATGAATCTTTAAATGAACACATGAACAAGAATCAAGAATCCTTGTATTAGAGTAATTCATACTTGAAGAGACTGTTAAAATATCTCTTTCCTTTCTAAATCAGAAGCAACACTAACTTTCACAACTAGTTCATTACCTTTCTACTTAAAGTTCTCTTTAAGTATTGGACAACCTACTTTTTAATTACTTTCTCACTTGAAATAGTGACATTTACTATTACCTTTTATCTTGGAACTGAAATGACTTTTCTTTATATCTTTATTTTTCTTGCACCCTCTTTCCTTACCTGAGCCTTTTACTATCATACTTTCAGTACCTATAAAATGTTTATTTCTAACCTGATTTAATAATTAATCTCGCATATTTTCAAGATGTCTTTACCTTAGAATATTGTTGTCACTAAGTGATCATAAACATGAATTACTGATGAAAGTAGAAGAATAGCTTAAGGTTCTTACTCTACCTTGACATTCAAACCATGAAGATGTGAGATCAACTTATTGAATGTATTCATTTCCTCTAGTATATTTTCTTCATCACATATACATCAGCTATTTCTTTGCTTCTTCAAATATAGTTTACATGTAAGAGATTCTGATGTGTAGAATATTTCCGATTTCTTTAAAAAAGTAATTGCAGTATCCATTTTAGTAATATTAAACATTACTCCATCAGCTAAACAAAACGGAATTATAGCAATTACTTTGAAATATAATTCATCCTTGATCTCGTCACTTACTTTTTATACTTTTTATTTTCTATAATTACTTTGTAAAGTCGTTATACAAAGATTGTGTTCTCTTTCTTTTACCACAAATCAAAATCAATCTGTCCATTGAATTGTGTATCTTCAAATTTTGTCATTATCTTTATAATAGAAAACTTAATAAGGTAACACTACTCAACTTTGATACCAAAAGATAATTGGAAAAAGAATGGCATAAATATAAACAAAAATCCTTCACCATGGATGTGTCCAAAATATCAAAGAAGATGTAATGAAATGACAAGATGAAGTAAAAAAAAGAAAAGGCAATATGAAGTGATATGTCAAGATTTACATGGTTTTCAAGAAATCCTTCAACATCTACTGACAGAACTATAGATACTTCTATGGTGGAAGAACAAATGGAAAGAGAGCCTGAAAAAATATTTGAATCTATTTCCTCCACTCGATGCTGAACATATCTCTCTTCAAGAAGGAAATAAAAGATAAAAATGAAAGAGTCAAAAGCTCTATATTCTTGTCCTCTCACCGAACCCAAATTACCCACTACTCCCTCCACCTCTCATAACTCTCTGCAGCTCTCACTCACCTTCTCCCATGCACCTCAACTTTGTAATTTGGATTCATAAGGGGAGACAAAAAGAAGGAGAGGGAGCCCGTTTTAACAGATGGGGGTCCTTTATAATTCCTCATCTTCTCTATTAGGGAACTGTAACGGTCCAACTAGTTTGAACGAGTCAATAAGAACAGAGAGACAGCTGGGTAAGTGGCCGATCCACATGACCATTCGAGGAGTTTTCCTCGAATGACGCCAGCAAGAGTCAAGACGGGATGCATTGCCCGGATCCCCTCCGCCCTGCCCCAGGGAGAGAGGAGATGACTACGGACGGAAGGCAGCTAACCAAAACATACGACACGTGCCCCGGCAGATCATGAAGTCGACATAGAGATCGGAGAAGGCGCAGGAATCGACCGGTGACAGATGGTCTCTTTGCGGATCTCAGAGTTAGATAGATCCGATCTTTTGTAGCCGCAAGCGAATGAGGAGGATGAAGAGGAAGAAGGGAAAGAGAGGATACGACGGCAGGGAGAGGAGACGGTTCATGATCCCTGAGGCGAGGCCGGGATGACCATGTTCTCGGTGGAGACGGCGTTGAGCTCCAACGTGGTGAGGCGGCCGGCGAAGACCTGGGTGACGGCACCGAGGGAGTACTGCGCTATGGAGGTGAAGATCGTTGGCCCTGCAAGGTACCAGAGCCTCTTGTTCTCCTCCATCTCCTCCAGAAACATCCGGCAGCTTGTTATCTCCCTCATGTCTGCCTCGCCGCCTCTCTTCTTTTCCTCTTGGAGTAGAGGCCCCTCCAGGTTCTCCCCTCTCCCTCTCCCTCTCTCTCCCTCTCTCTCCCTCCCCCTCATTTTCCTGATCTTCACATATTGTTACACACACACACACACATATATATATGGGAGTGAGAGGGAGTTGTCTATTATGATCCAATCTCATTCTTCTTTCTCTCTCTATCTTGTCTCTCCAAGGAGTGCAGGTCCTACCGTCCGCCTGATCAGGATCTAGCGGCTGGCAAAGGAGAGATGGAGGGTAGCGTCAGTGTCTTACTGTCAGGTGATCAAGTCATTAACAGACGTGGGGGATCCTCTGACACAACCCATTCCCCCCGCTGAATCCCTGTAACCTTACGTACCAGCTCCTCACGTGGCGATCATGGAGATGAACCAAGATCCCGAAGGCCATGTTCTCGGTGATGACGGTGTCGAGCTCCAGCGTGGTGAGGTGACTTGCGAAGACCTGGGTGATGGCGCCGAGGGAGTAAACGTGAATGTTAGTATTGCAAAAACTAAGAGAAGTCATTTAATGTTTTTGTCCTCATTAGGCCTCTTCCTTCTGGGATTTTTTTTGGGTTTCAAATCCCTCTTTCTTCCTCCTTTTCCCTCTTCCCACTCTCCTAAAAATCTATCCTTTCTGTCTAAAAATCGTCATCATTTTTCCTCTAAGTGGTATCAGAACACTGGGTTCATTTATTTCGTGTTTTCCTTCTTTCGTAGATACTACAACAACATCAAGGGAGATTTAAACAAGGTTGGAGAAGGTTTATAGGTATTTCTAAAGATTCCTTATTATTACAAGGCATGTGAATGTTCTGTTTGAAGTTTTTGTAAAGAGGTAATGCCATTGACTTTAAGAATGATGAATGGCAACCCTTCAACCTATCTCAACCTCTTGTGATATTTTCCAATAGAGAAAAATATTATTTTTAGACTATTAAGATAAAAACATTTTTATTTCAGAAGGTTTATTAGTTGAAAATGATAATAAGGAGAGAGTTCTAAATAAGATAATAATGAATTTTTTTTAAATATGTCAAAATATTATTAGTTTTACAATAGTCAGTTTTATTTTTATATATTGTTAATACTATGAGTGCATTAGATGGAAAATTTTAATAGATGAGTTTCATGAAGACTATAGAATTATGATAGTCAAATTTCAACTACTCTATAAGGAATTTGAAACTATTCATATGAAATCTGATGATTTATTTTCTCGAATTTGAATTATTATTAATAAAATGAGAATTTATAGAGAAAATATTTCAAAAAGAAAAATTGTTGAATTTTTTGAGAAGTTTTCTATCTAAATTTGATCATGGTATTGCTGCCATAGAAGAGTCTAAAGAATATCTATTTATACTCAAAATGAATTGATGAAATCTTTATTAGCACATGAAGAAAGAATGAATAAATCTATACAAAATTCTTTTGAGCTAACATTTCAAGCTAAAGTTGAAATTTCAAAGTACAAAAACAGTGAAGACATTTCAAACTAATGGCATAATAATAGATATAAAGATTGAGAAAGTTATGTCAACTGAGGTGGTAGGAGAGAAAATAGGAAATCAATTATGGATGGAAAAAATATGATGGTGGAAACACTCAAAATCAAAAAGCAAATAATAGAATAATCTAATGACATTTTTTTAATAAATATAGACATATTGAAGCATATTGTTGGGACAAGTCAAAACAATAAGAAAATATTAGAGAAAGGAGTTTTAAGTCAACATATAATTTTTGTAAAAAATATTGTTAGATTGAAGTAAATTTTTGGGATAAGAAAAAGGAGTAAATAAATATTGTTGAAAACAATTATCAAAATAATTTGTTCATTTGGTGGCATATAACGGTGGCAATGGGCATGTAGAGGCAGCAACGACTCAAGACAACGGCGGAGGCATAAATCAAGCCCTAGGTGTTGTTGGCGGTGTGGCAAGTGGTGGGACAGCTGGCTGGCAAATGATAGGTAATGGGTGGCAGTATACAGCAGTGGCAGACAGCGTCAGATAAATGACTCTCACAGACGCTCCCTCACAGAGCAATGGTGGATAAGCTATGAAACCAAGTGATTATTTTCTCCCTCACATTCTCTTGTAACCAACTGATGGATTATAAGAGGTTACTTATAACCTACCTGATACTTAATAAAAGAAAGAAATACTTCATAATAAAGAAGTTACATCCGAGTGGGTGTGGGCTGAAGTGCTGAGGAACGGGATGCTGGCTAGTTTCTCTGATCCCCACAGTTTGATGGAGATACTTAATAAAATAAAATAAATACTTCATAATTTCCGCCTGATGTAATTAACCCAATATGAGTTCCTCAACAATGCTAAACATAAGGTAAAACGAGATAGAGTGAGCAGGCTAAGTCTTATTTGCAGGTGCTGCTACCATGCGTCGCCATGGCTTTGTGGGTTTTCCACCGATCCTCCCCACTTCTTTATCCGGGAATCCGCCATGGCGGCCTGCAACAAAGGATAAAATGCACCGTCGGATCAACTCTTACCGCGAGACATAGAGAGAGAAGGCACGGACCTCCTTGTTCCAGTTTGTGGAGAGCGTGATCCCCGTGAGTATCAAGGTCTGCAACAACACCCCGGAGATCATCCCGCTCCAGATGCCCTTCACAAAAATTTCGGTTAGAATCATCCTACGATACCAAACTTCCTCTCTAACTTCCCTATTTTATTTGCCTCTCCGTACAAACCATTACCTTGACTCCCAGATCAAAGTAAGATCCCAGCAAGAACCCTAGTGGAAGGCCGACGACGTAGTAGCAGAAGAGATTTACGTAGGCGACGAGGGTCTGCCATCCCGCTCCCACGGCAACACCTGTAGCTCCCCAATTCACTCAGGTAAACAGAGAGAGAGAGAGAGAGATAGAGAGAGAGAGAGAGAGAGATAATTCTCCAAGAATTTATTAGGAGGCTCACCAGTGAGGACGGGCTGGACGCTGTTGAGGAGAAGAGTGAAGGAGAAGAGGACGGCGAGGTCGGAGACGGCGCGGGAGACGACTGGGCTGTTCGTGAAGGGAACACCGTAGACGTCCCTGAGGGAGAGGACCAAGGCCATGAAGAAGACCCCAATGATGGCGGAGGAGATGACGACCACGAGGATAGAGAACTTGGCCGCCCTCGGCCGCCGGGCTCCGAGTTCATTTGAAATCCTCACGCTGTTCCATTCAAATCATTAAAATCATCAAGCAATGTAATCAAAATCAATTGCATCAGAAGAATGATCCCTCAGTCGACTTTCACTGAAATGGATTTTCGGATATGGATTTTTGGTAATTAGCTCATAAATGTCGTCTAGAGAGACCTAGGTGTTCTGTTAACATGGTAAGAAAATACCTCCAGTCAAAACGACGACTCCTCGTGGCTCTCTCTCTCTCTCTCTCTCTCGCTGTGTATTGGGGGTTTGCTCCTCATCTGACTTTGTCTCTTCCCCTTGATGCTCTTCTCACCTGCGTCGTTGTCTCTTCCCCTTGATGCCCCGGCCCCAATGGCCACCCACCCAACACCTCAAGTCATCCGGACAGTGGAATATAATCTTGTGTTGAAATATTCCCCGTGAATTAGACTCAACTATGTTTTACAGAACACGACGGGGTCACTACTAGAGATTGTTAGTCCACATCGGGCCATCGAGCATACCTTATTGCCGCGTTGAATCCGAAGAACACCATGATCTCCCACCCGCTCAGGTTCACACTGCCGTCAGACGGGCAATACCCAATCTCCGTCACATTATCGAAAAACTTTCTTGTTCATAACAGTATGCACTTGTACATACCAGATGGATATGGCGGCGACCGCGATCTCGGCGTTCCTCAGGCGACCCGCCAGCACCACCAGAAACATAAGATACCAGAACTCCAGACTACACGTCGTGAGAAGGTAGCGGTAATAACTCAGATATTGAATGAGCAATAGGAAATCTTCATAAATGCGATTCTATGAGTGCACTTTACCACATCATGATGGCGGAGGCGATGGAGAGCCTAGCAAAGGCGGCGAGATCCCGAAAGGCGGCCAAGCTGAAGCCCGTCCAGGCGCCGGGGCAGTTGCCCATGAGGATGTAGAGGAGCTGGCCGAGCACAACCGCCCACCAGGAGATGTTTAGCGAGGCGGCGGCGCCGGGGAGGCCCAGGCCGAGCCGCACGATGAAGAGCCAGCTGAGGAGGAGGTGCAGCAACAGCGCCACCGCAGACACCACGGCCATGGTCATCACCTTGCTCTGCGCCTGCAGGAACTTCTGGATGGGGAAGTTGGCCCCGTATGCGAATAGCTGGGGGATCATGTACAGTGAGAATCGCCCAGCGAGGACAGCGATCTCCTCCTCCTGACCGAAAAACCGCAGGATCGGCGTGGCAAAGAGGTAGATGGGCATCAGGCAGAGGCACATGGTCATGAGGATCAACCAGGACCTCTGCATGTAGACACCCATCATGTGGAGCTGCTTCGCGCCATAGGCCTGACCGCAGAGTGTCTCCAGTGCGCTTCCCATCCCGAGCTGTGGTAATCCATCGACAATTCAAGTCTGCTACAAATAATCAGAGGGTAGGGGGGAGTGTTTGTGTGTGTGTGTGTGTATATGTGTGTAACCGAGATAGGTGGAATAAGAATTGCAAATTTTTCATCAACTTAAGTATAGATGTCTCCAAAGTATCGAAGGCAAGATCACGAAGATGGAAAGATGAATTACGAATGAAAAAGCACTAAGAAGTGATATGTAAAGATCTACCTGGTTTAGAGAAATCCTCATACATCTAGGGAGAGAGCTAGAGATGTTTATTTGATGAATGAACTAATAGAAGAGAACCTTACAAAAAAAATTGGTATCTTTCCTCGACTCAATGCCGAATGTTTCTTTATTTAAGAAGAAAAGAAAAGACCCCAATAGAAGAAGTAAGAACCCTACCTTATTCTCTTCTCACCAACCCTAACTTCTCCATTAACCCTCTTGCATTGCTTCAAGAATGCATTGTCTGTCAAGAACAAATGATTTACAGAAATCAACTTTACAGGATTTTTTATCGTGAAGTAATTTCTGAGTGTTCAACTATACCGTTTTCTTTTCATTTATATGATCGAGCCTAACACACCACAACCTTATAGCATCATCTTCAAAATGAGATGTGATTAGTGCATCACAAAATACCACTGTATCAAGTAACTTGTATAATGATCCAGATTTCTCTCCCTTTTTATTACCTAAAGCACCTTTTTTATTTTTAGAAAACCATTAGTACTAGTGTAAGTGCAATCATGTGCATTGTGTACATACAAAGAGTTTAATTTTCTTAAATTTGGTACATTTTGGTACATAGCATCTATCAATTTTTTTACTATAATATCAGATATTTTAGTTTTTTATTGTTCATATCACAATAGTTCTTCACTTATTAGTATAACCTATGAGAATTCTACCTTCATCATGTGTGATGCATGTGTCAAATCAACCCCTAAATAAACACAATGTGATAGGAACAAGTAGAATCAGGAATCCTTGTATTAGAGTAATTCATACTTGAAGATAATGTTAAAACATCTCTTCCCTTTTCTAAATCAAATGAGATATGGGCTTACACAATTGGTCTATTACCCTTCTAATTAAACTCTTAGGTACTGGACAATATACTTTCGACTTGGAAATTAAATGATTTTCTTGCCATCTTTATTTTTTTGATGTCCTCTTTCTTGACTTGAATCTTTCACTATCAAGATTTCAATACCTATAAAATGTTTATTTCTAACCTTATTTAATAATAATATATAATTAACCTCTCCTATTTTAAAGAAGATTGTTGTCACTATTTGGTCATAAGATTGAAGTAATAATGAAATAAGAAGGATAGCTTAATCTTATTGTTCCATCTTTCCCTCAAAACTAGGAAAATGTGATAACAACTTATTGAATGTCTTTATATACTCTAAAATATTTTCTTCATCACACAAACATAAGCTACATAATTCATTCCATAAATATAGTTCTCTTGTATAACATTTTGACATGGAGAATATTTATGATTTCTTTCCTAAATCGATATTAGTACCACCTGAGTAATATTATATATTACCCCATCAACTATCATAACTGAATTGTACTAACTAATTGAAATCTAATTCATTTTAATGCTCATCACCTAGTTTTCGTAATTTTTCTTTTCTATAAAGTTCTTTGTGAAGTCATTTTTTGTCATTATCTTGACAATAGCTAACTTAATAAGGGAAGACTAACTTGGCTCTGATATCAAACGATGTTTGTAAAAAAAATGGTATAAATATATAAAAAAAATCCTTAAGCATGGACATGAACAAAATAGCAAAGGCAATGTAATGGAAATGACAAGATCTAAGTACAAATGAAAGAGCAATATGAAGTGATACCACAATATTTACATGGTTTATAAATCCTTCTACATCTACACAAAAAGCTAGTAGTATTTCTATGGTGGAAAAAAAAAATGGAAAGAGAACCTTAAAAAATATTTGAATCTTTTTCCTCAACTTGTTGTTGAACATCCTTCCCTTTAAGAAGAAAAGACCTAAATGAAATGATCAAAAGCTCTATATTCTTCTCCTCTCACGAAGCCCAACTTCTCCACTACCCCCACCTCTCATAACTCTCCACAGCTCTCACTCACCTTCTCCCATGCCCCTGCCATTTAAATAGAGTCAGAGGAGGGAGGGGGAGAAGGATAGGGAGCCCGTTATAACGGCTGTGCCTTTATAATTCCTCATCTTCTCCATTGGGCCTTTGTAACGGCCCAACTAGTTCCAACGAGTCAATAAAGATCAGAGAGGCAGCTAGTAAGTGGCCGATACACATAACCATTGGTTATAAAATGACCCCGCGACAGTCAGACGGGATGCGCAGCCCGGATCCCCTCCGTCCAACCCTATGGAGAAGGAAGATAACTACGGACGGAAGGCAGCTATTCTAGACAAACGCCGCGTGCCCTGGCAGGCCTTAGAGTCAACGGAGGGATTTGAGAAGGGACAGGAAAGCGGCCGGTGAGAAATGGTCTCTTCGCGGATGTCAGAGTTGACTAGATCCGATCTATTGTTGCCACAAGCGGATGAGGAAGATGAGGATGAGGAGGATGATGCGGAAGAAAGGAAAAGAAAGGATACGGCGGTGGGGAGAGGAGACGAACCATGATCCCGAAGGCGAGGCCGGCGATGACCATGTTCTCGGTGGAGACGGCGTCGAGCTCCAGCGTGGTGAGGTGGCCGGCAAAGACCTGGGTGACGGCGCCGAGGGAGTACTGCGCTATGGAGGTGAAGATCGCCGGCCCCGCGAGGTACCAGAGCCTCTTGTTCTCCTCCACCGCCTCCTTCAGAAAAGTCCGGCAGGTGGTTATGTCCCCCAAGTCCGCCTCGCTACCTCCCCCCTCCTCCTCATGGAGTAGAGGCTCCTCCAGCTTCTCCCCTCTCCGCGCCATGACTGTCTCTCCGTCTCTCTCCCTCTCTCCCTCTCTCCCTCTCCGTTTTTCCTGATCTCTTCACATTTTTTTACACACACACACACATATATATATATATGGGGAGAGAGAGGGAGACCGAAAGCTAGTTTATTGTGATCCAATCTCTCTCTCTCTCTCTCTCTCTCCAAGAAGGAGTGCAGGTCCTATCGTCCGCCTGAGAGAATCTAGCGGCTGGGAGAGGAGAGGGTAGCTCCGGTTTATGACCGACACAAACATGTTCCAGCCGCTTAATACCATTCCCCGTAACCTTACCTCCCAAGCTACTCACCTTTGTGCGCCTCCGACGTGAACATTTTTTTTTGTAAATTTTAACTCTTGAGGTTAATGAAAAAGCAAGAGAGTCAGAGAGAGACAGAGAGAGATGAAGCCCGGCTAGCCTGGTCCCCCCACAGCTGAGAACGACGTTTATCCCTCCTCTGCCGTCCTTATTCTTCCCTTGATGCTCTCCCTCATCAATTTCTCTACTTCACCTCCTGTCCACCACTCTCCCTCACTGGGTAGGTATGGTAAATGATCCGCTCTCCTCTCCTTCTTCGGTTTCTCCCCTCATAGCCTTCTTCCATCCTGTAGCCCCGTCCCCCCATGCTCTCTGCTCCCTCTCCCTTCACTATAAGTAGTCTGGGCAGCCTGTGGCGCCCATTTGCCCACGTGGTTTCTCTCTCTCCTCTTCGTCTCTGCGCGGCCCCTGAACCCCAGAATTAGTGAGGTCGTTGTCATCTCTCTCTCTCTCTCTCTCTCGCTCGCTCGCTCTGTACAACTGTTCGGAGCCTACGCAGCCAGTGGAGATACGAATTAATGTCGTCCGTCTCTTTGTTTCTATCGTTTTCTCAGGCCGTCCCGCTGCCGTTGAACGACGCAACCGTCGAATCCACGAGGGATCTGCGTTCGTTGCAACCCGACGGACCTCACAAAAAACTCCTTTTTTTCTATTCGTCCGTTGACTGGGGATTATTAGTGGGCAGAGATGGACAGTGTAGTCCCGAATTGACATCACCAAGGAACGGCAGCAATCTATAGATACCTGAGCAATGAACTCCCAAAAAAGCTCTTAAAAAAAACTACTTTTTTTTTTTTTCTATTCGTCCATTGACTAGGTACTTATAAGAAGTCAACTCACTGACGTTCGAGGATCGGCCTTTCCTCTAATGCTCTAGGGGATATGAAGCATCTAAGTTACACATTTACTGAAATATATTATCAAGGAAAAGAGAACAGATTTTCTTTAAATTTATCTTAGACATTGAATTTAAAATATTTTTAAAAAATAAATGACCGAAGGTTCTGCACAGCTCAGTTTGTCACCATCAGGTTATAGAAGGGGAGAATGATGGGAGCATTTGGTCACAAGAACAATATGATTGAAGCTGTCTATTGACTTGTATGTGCCCTTTCTTAAAATCCTTTGAATTTTTTCTTCTAATTTACTCTTGAAATAGGTTGTTGCATGATTGGAGAGTACTTGGGGACTCTCAACTCAAATCCACAGAAGGGATTGAGAAAAAGTTTCTCCAAATTTTCCCATGTACCAAGTTGCTTGCAATCTTCTGCATAATTACATCGGATTATAATTCAGTTGAATGCTACATATGTATATATATATATATATATGTAGCTTGAATTTTTATGGAACATTATACAAGTCATGAAAGGCCCTAGTTTATTTCAAAAAAATAAAAAATAAGAAATTAAATGCCTTCTCTTGAAGATGTCTAAGATTTTCCATAGTTTTGATAATTTGATAAATCAATGTTGATCACCCTATATCTTTAGAAAAATATTTATTAATTGTTTACATCATCAATAGATAAGTCATTGTTTATTTACCAATTATACCTAATTGTGGCATTTAGCATATAGTCTTCATGAGGCCACCAAGAAGAGAGAGATGAAGTAATTGTCCAGAGGGTTTGACCTAAGCCCGGTCCTGACTAGCGCCATATCATTTATTCTCTATTTCATAATATATCTGGTCAATGCCACTACAGCATTGAATAAAAGAGGAACAAATAGATGGAACATTTACTGAAGTCCATCTCAAGAGCACGGAAGTCAACTGAAAACAGCCAAAAGAGGAACAAATAGATGGGCCAGCATTAGACTCTTTGATCTCAGCAAGCTTCAAGAATATTCCCACAAATGAAGAGTCATAAAGGGCTTATCATCATCATGGAGGAGACCGCCAAAGAGTCAACTGTATTATTAATATGAGTAAATAATTGCTCATCATAAAACAATGAAATGACATGATACATGTGCTAAAATAGAGCAAGCATGGCACGTGCATGCGTACGTGTGACTTAGGTCAACGCCACTACAGCATTGAATAAAAGTTCACGGAAGGGAGAAGTCCTTGAATTGTGTTAGAGAAGTGTGCACGTGGTGTGCACTAACACAACATGACACGTGTGTGGGCAAGGCAAGGCTCAAGCACGCGTAGGTGAGGCACATGTGGAGGACTCCACCAAACGTTCGTTGACAGGTGGCACAGTCTGAGACGACGCGGCGTGACAAAAGTATGATAGTAGCACGACAAACATACGATTAGACATGACACTGCGTAATGTGGTGACAGGAGCTCACATACGGCATACGCATAAGGACAGAAGAATATTAATAAATGGGCCAGCGCACATTGGAGAAAGCAAAGGTAGGTTGACCACCGCATGGCAGCCAGGATTGGATCCTAATTAAGTAAATAATTACTCATTATAACGAGGCGATTCGATAATCATGTGACAATCAAATATAGAAACTATGGGAACCATATTCAAATTCAGCTGCGGGTTTTGCAGATTTAAAGACCCAGTAAGCAAAGTTTGATTCAATAATGTGAGTAAACTAATCACTCATCATATCCATGAGATTGAATAATCATAAAACAATGAAATAACAGAAGCTAGGGCATCCACAGGAGCCAGATTCAGACTCAGCCACAAGTTTTCCGTAAGATGGTAAGTTAGAATATGTCAACTCTTAAGAAAGTCGTAGACCTTTGCATCTAGAGAGCACTGGAGATTGCAAGATAACTGGCATATGGGGTTATCTTCTTCACTGTGATTTCTTCTGTTTCTCCACAGGCGGTTTCTGGTATATTAGTATTTGACTCAGGATCGTCCCATTTGTCAGGATGCCCAGCACAGAACCCAAGACCACTTTAGTAGCGTCAAGGGATAAATAAAATGCAAAGAAAGCATGTAATCTGCTCTTGAATAAGATTATTTTCTTTTCATTTTCATTAAGAAAATACTTTGGAGAGAAGAGGGTGAGAATTTCTGGGAACGGCATCATGCTCAAAGAAAAATCTGAAAAAAATGGCTCTTGATGCATCATAAAGCAATCTAAAACGAAAAGGAAAGTGATTTGCCTTATCAACGTCTCTAGGATGCTAGCTTTCCTACAATGAGAAGGGTTGGTGTAGAACAGCTGATCGAGGCTAAAAGAGTTCAGACTGATCTACATTCTAGAATTCCGCGAGGAAAGAAATACATTTCCCATCTTCTTGTGCATTCTTCATGGAACAAAAATTCAGTAACGTCCGACACATGTTTTACTATGATTTCAAGATACTAAAATCCAAGGACATGATTACAGGGTTTGACCCTGTAAAGTTTGACCCTTAGGGTTGGATTCGGAGATGGGGGTTTATGTAAAGAGGTTCCTTTTCTCTCCTGTCTTTCCATGGACGCCAGATTTTAATTGTTTGGGTAGGGGAATAGAATGCAAAAGCATATATCAACTAGAAAAGAAACTAGTACATTGAGAGTGCATTGATCAAAGGCATCACTAGATATTCCAAGAAAAACCTAGGTGGCTTTTAATATAAAATGACCAAAGACTAGAACAGAGCAAAAGGATACCACTTGTAGGTGCTCTTTCTTGCAAGCCAGTAAAAACCCTTGCTGCAAATGATAAAAATGGCAGTCAGACGGACCCAAACTAAAGAACGGACTCTACCAGCGTTCTTGCAGGGTGGGTTTCCTCACCCATAGAGCCGGCAAAATTCATAAGACAAGTTAAGAAGCTGAGCTCCCCAGTGCTTTTGTTCTGGTCAAAATATGCACGATGTATTAACATGATGAAGCATTTTCAGTCATAGTCAGCTGAATTTGAGAGTATGTATCATAGGGAAAATCCACAGTTGCAATACTAAGAAGGATGAGTGTTTCGTGGGATAATCAAGAAAAGAGATTGGTGCTTACAATTCAACAAAGAAAATGTCAAATGCATCATTGATCAGAATCAAGAATAAAAAAATTGAACTATCACTCGGGAATTAGCAAAGATCCAGTGAGTATCAAACGATAGCATTGTTTCTGTTTAACATAAAACTTGCAGGAGATCTCTCCGATCATCAATAACTATAGTTACATTGACCTATTTTTACTTGAATTGTAAAAGCCATTAACCTTAAGTCTTAATACAAGCTCCTGTAAGTTCTGCTTGTTAATTTTACAGTCCTGCGATTCTTGCAATTTCTCTAATCTAATTATCTTCAAATTTTCAATTTAAGACCATAGACCACAAGCACCATCTTTTCCCAGAATAAATCCACGGCATTATCAATAAGTCGTTCCACTGTGCATCAACTGTGGCAGTTCACTTCAAAAAAACTAAAATAACAAAGAACTATAATAAACAAATAAAAAGTCATCTAAAGAAATGTTCCTCAAAAGAAAAGGTATGTCACATTCTCCGTTTGGAGCGACAAAAAAATTGAACTACCAAGCATCACCAACAAGTTGTTATTCGACTATATAAATAAAAATCTTGCAACTAACCCCCTATCAATTTCCATATCACCAAATGTGCCTTGACGCAACAACATTGGAACCTAAAGTTTGAATAGTTATTTACATCACTTGATCCCTCTAGAGTTTTGAAGATAATGGTAGCTTGGCACAATGATGATAAAGATAATAACATAATTAGTGATGACAATGATGAACTTCTCAGATTGATACCAAGAAATGTTTTCTCTTATAATGTCTGACAGGTGAAAACACAGTTTCTCCTCCACGAGTTAAAAGTGGGACATACGGTCAAAGTGAAATGGCAATCGAGACTCGTTTCGCATCTTAATCCGCATTACTAGAAATTGGAGCTATGGAAACCAATAGCCCAAATAGCGATCAGTGCATGTATACATATGAAAGAATAGCTTAGACTACACGCATGCATTGAATAAACACCAAAGAAAAAATACAAACGTAGAGAAGACATTTTCATATGATATATATATATATATATCAAACAGCCCTAGAATGGAACGAAAGGGATAATCAAATATTCATAATACAGAAAGTTCCAGAAGAAACAACGTTACTTTTATGGATGTAGAGTAAGCTCGGATTTTTTTTAATGATGAAAGACAAAAGCCTGCAGTTTTGAGAGAAATGGGTTCCTCGCACAGCCAACATCTTCCTAGTGTAGACTAGTATCGTCGTGCATGGACATCTATTTCTGAATTTTTGAATTTTATTAATTATTTGGTGCTCCGAAACCTTCAATTTCAATGATTCAGAACACCTCTACTCATGAGCTGCAAATACAATTGAAGAACCAAAGAAAAAAATGTCATTTAACACAGGGGCAGTCTTACAGTACGAAGGAGATTAAAGAAAAACTGTTGCTATATGGTATTCATCAAGTATATAAGAATTTAAAGAGAACAACGTTCCCTGACCTTAAAATTTGTCCATATTTGAGGGACCCTGGCACTGAAGAATATTGCATGTTGAGAAGCCTGTAAGCAAATACCACATTAGAGGAATATTGGCAATAACGCATAATGTGCTTGATCAAGAAATCAATATCCTTGTGTAGCATTCTAATGAGATAAATATAGTGTTGACAGAATGTGCAACTCACATATAGTGCTTCGAAGAGAAAAGGATCAATATTACCAGCTAGAATGGTCGGTGCTACGCCACAATATCTGACAAGGAATTAATTGACAACAAAAGAGAAGAAATGTATAAACTTCACATGATAGTAAAACACTTTATGCTGATCTTGAATTATTATTTTTAACTTATGTGAAGATCCGAACTGAGTTCCTAGGCGAACTTAGTGAAGGATACAGCAATGCCTTCATCCATGTTTTGGTTCCGACTGGTGGTGAATAATAATAAATGATAGCAACCAGAACTATGGCTGCAATGAAACAAGAAAAACCTCAAGCGTTCAAGGATCTCCGAAAATCGAAAGACTAAAAGAGCAGAGAATAAAAATGGGTATCAAATAATGGGTTGAATTTTTTTCCCACATATACCTTGAATAAGAAGAAAAAGTAGCTCGCCATAAGCCGAAAAAGGAAGACCTTTGTGAAGGCAATATGATAACGCAATAGTGAATCCAACCACCTCCAGCTCAAATGCTGCAACACTAAGGCCCCTGACACTATTATTCTTCAAAATCTTGTATATCTGAAAAATTAAAAGAAGGATCGATTATATAAATAGCAATAGAGAAATGGCAAACTTAATGCACCACAACCCGAAGGCAAAGTCTTCAATGAACCATGGAATGAATCCAGATGTGATTACGCAAATTTCAAGATGGGCATAGAGACACTGCTTAGCAGATTGATATCAGATATTCATGTCTGAAAAATCTTAGTCTTGGTCTTTTCCAAGTGCACTTGTGCAGAGACTATCCCGAAAAGACATGGAAGAGGGATTGGCAAAGCAACAAGAATAGCAGTGCTTTTAGGGAGGAATCAGGAAGCCATCGAGAGCAACCAATTGGCTTACTACAAAAGCCGACATGATACTCAATTACTACACTCCCTGGAATGAAATACAGAAACGAGAGAACATGTTGTAAATGTATAAGAAAAATCAAGCAGAGAATGATGGCAGATACCAGAGTAGATAATATGTATCCAAGGAATCCGAAAAATTGCCTGACCGGAACAGGAGATGATATTTGTCTGAAAAAGCTCATTTAATGAAGGGGAAACCATTATAATTGATAGGAACTTTTCCAGGCCCCTTCTCCAGTCTCTTTGGAGGCAGACCAAACTTCCCGACGAGAGAAGAAGAAAGACAAGTAGAACATCAGAGAAAGATGAGGACAATCTCAGAAGGAAAATGGCGAGGATAATTTATGAGGGTGGCCAGATCTACCCGCCTCGACCCCCTGAACTTCTGTTTATAAATTCGTAGATGGAGCATCGCAGTCTTTCCAGCAAACTAACAGGCTTAGTCTCTGTTCACGGACTCCACCCACGGAACAAAAGCTTAGGCTTGATAAGTAAATGGCCATTGTTTTTACCACAAGATGCTCAATTAACCTTTCAAAAGCATATTAGACTAAACAAGCAATTTTTGTATGTAAAAGTGTGGTGTCCAGGCTTCGTTCCAACAATATAAGAATCTCTAAATTTCGTGAACTCAAGTTATCCAGCAGGAAGAAATGCGAAGACTTAGGCAAATATATGAACCAATCTGAGTTAATCGTGTCATGTAAACTTTTTTCTCTCTTTAAGGCACCAATTCACAAGCAAACACAGAATAAATCAAAAAAGGATAGTGAACAAGCAAACAATCTCTCCAACGTCACCAATCCATGTCAACGTGAGCTACTGACGGCAATCAAATTTATAAAGGCACCAATCCATAGAAAAGACGAAGATTGGCGCGACCAATTCACATCAAATGAAAGGGGTAAAACAAAGGAGCCCAGATCACCCCCCATAAGGCGGTCTTCAATAGGCAGGAATTTGGGGAAGCCACCAACCTGGGGAACCTTGACTGTGGTGGAGGCGGCGACGATGCAGTACCCAAGGAGCTTCGAGATTAGCGGCAGCAGGCAGTCGCCCTCGGGGAACTTCCACTCCCCCAACGATCTCACCACGCACCCCAAGTTCATCCCCAGGATCTCGAACTCCATCTCTCCCTCTCTCTCTCTCTCCCTCTCTCTCTCTCTCCTCTACAAGTAGCCCCCTCCAAAACTCTTCGAAGGGATGAATGTACCTTTCTGGTAATTAATATTGTGATATGTTGATAAAATATATAAAATTGGAGACCTTTTATGAAAAGTAGACAGGGACTTATATGCAATTATGTTTATTGAGAAAAATGCTCCGATTTAGCTCGCGTACGTTCATGCGACCTTATGTGCAACTTTGACTCTGAAGAGGGGGGGAAACTGATAAAAGCCCAAAATCGAAGGGTCAAATGCCTTGAACAGGAGAAAATGCTTAATTATGATTAAAGCCACTAACTATAGTCTTGGAAACCCATTGGGTTGAGTTCCCTTTTTGGGCCCAGTGTCATCGTCGGCCCAATTTGACCCTCGAGGACCATTCCATTGACCAGCATGGTTGTCACACCACTCATTCTCAAGATTGCGCCTTCACATAAACATATAAAATATAAATTTCTCTACATATTCTAGAAACCCGGCTTTTTATTCACCTATCGCTTTTAGGAAATAAGGAAGGAAATATAATATATATATATACATATTCTATGGTTTGACTTTATTCATCGAAAAAGAGTATAGTTTGGCCAAACAGCACGGCACACGACGTGGATCCATCAGATACCGTAGAAACCAGCAGACCGTCGCTCTGGATCGAGAATACCGTCCGTCCGTCCGTCCGTCCGTCCATGGTTTGACTTTTTTGGGCATGCGTTCGGACGTAGGATCCGAGATCGCCAGTAGGGGTTCCCGGACTTGGATGAGGTGGTCTCCACATCATCGTCTCCTCCCTCCCCCAACTTGTAGGGTTTGGACGGAGGAGGCCTAGAAATCACGGCGGCACACAGGGCAAGAGCCCTGGCAGATCAACCAGCGGTCGATGCAGGGGCGGTGGAAGGTGTGGCGGCACTGCGGCAAGATGCGCGCAGTCTCCCCTGGTAGAAGATCCTGGATGGGAAGGACCGACCGTCAACGGCCGGAGGAAGAATCCGGTGGGGAGGTCCCGAGAGAGGGCGGTGGTGCTCACCTGCAAGCACACCGAGCAGCGGACGATCTCTCCTGATGCGTCTGTGTTGTTCTCTGCTGTGATGAGTAGCTTAGGGATCTTGCGGACGGAGGCCGCGGACATGCCACCGTCGCCGGCGCCGATCTCGAAGATGTCGCGGAATTCGCGGAAGGTCTCGTCGGCGGCGTTCATCTGCGGGAGGAATATCGGCCGTCGGTTGGGAATTCATGGCGAATCGAGGAGTGTCTGATGCAGAAGGCGGGGGAGAGCGGGATCTACCTGGCTCTGTACGGCGTTCTGCACAGCGGGACCGACCTTCTCCCTGACGAGCCTTCCGCTCAGGAGCATCGCGATGATGTCGACCTGTGAGGAAATTTGGGGGTTCCTCAGAGTCTTAGATCGACAAGTTGTCTCCCTCGGAGAGCCTGCAAATGCTGAAATCCTACACCGAGAACTACCTCTCTCCGCTCAGTCTAATATGGATACTCTACAGGCGAGCCGGGGGCAGTGACCTATACCACGTACAGAAAGCTCCGGATTCCAGATCCAGTTGAACGCCGGACGACGAGAGACGACTCCATGGTGTCAATGGAGAAGATGACTCCGGAAATGGCTCCAATCCCGGCCCCGCGGAACAATCCGCTCTCGGTTGCTAGCCCTATTAGGGCACCGGTGACGGCCCCGACGAAGAAGCCCGCTGCAAGAAGAACAACCGAAAGATGAAGAACAGATCGAAGCAGGCTAGAACGGTGTCGATCTCATCGAAGCACGAGATAGAAGAGGAAAACCAGACCTATTGTGAAGACGCAGGCCACAAGGTAGAATAAGATTCTTCCGACCATCTCGGCCGCCACGGAGGCCGTCGTTCCCCTCCCGCTGTCGCTGCTGTCGCCGGAAACGGAGAGGTTCCTATCCACTGTCCCGGCGGCGGTGGCGGAAGTTGCCGTAGAATCAGAACCGGAAGATCCGGGGATGCGCCGTGGGAGAAGATGGATCTCCGATTCGGAAGAAAAAGGAGGAGGAGAAGAAGAAGAAGCACTCACGGGTTTCATCCCAATCCCTTCAGGAACAGGACGATGAAAGCCACAAGATAAACCCTCCCCTATCATGAATTTGCCGACCTTAGTATATATATATGGATACATCACTCCCTAGTGAGAGAGAAAGAGAGGTCAGATAATTGTAATATGATTATGATAAATTATAATTTATAATATCGTTAAATAAAAATATGATTATGAAATGAAAATTATATTAAAATACTAATTATAATACAATTTAAAAAGTACATAATATAATAATAGGAATTAATTAGTACCGGCAAACCTCACCAGCACTATTTTATTAATTATTAAAATTATATTCTGAAGTTTCTAGCTCTGGAAATTAGAAAAAATGTTCAAAAACCTGACTTTTTAAATTCTCCAGGTGAAAATAAATTACATTAACCAATTAAAATAGATACAAAGGAAAGAGTGCGAGCTCATCCATTTGGTCTCCAAGGAGGTGGGTTCGGATTATTCTGAGAGAGCGATGGTGGTTGACTTTCATGGGACCGCATGCTTACTTGCGTGTGAATAATTGAAAAATGGGCCGGGAAGTCCACAAAGTCAAACTCCGATTAATTCTGGAAAATGGGCCCAGGCCTAGTACAGACCGGCCCAGTTGAATTCGTCGGGTAGCGTTCCCCCGGCCCAATACCCGCCGACACGCCGCGCATGATTTCTAGAGAGAGAGAGAGATAAAGGAGTCAAACTATGAATCTCGCATTATTTTTAGAGAGAGGACGATAGAGAGAGAGCCAAAATATCTATATAATATTATCTAATAATTATTTTATTTGTCCGAAGATTCCGAGCACTTCTGCCGAAGTCACTATCTCGCCGTCTTCCTCCCTACCGTTTTCCAGGAGTCAAAGACCCTAAGTTGCACGGAATATTCTTCCCTGACGGCGGCGGATATTTTCTGTTTGGCCCCTAACGGCGGTCCACCGTCAGAGAGAGAGAGAGAGAGAGAGAGAACGACTGCACCCGCGAATGATCCAAATTGTTAATAAATTATTAGCCATGATCTTATTTGTCCAATGTCAGTACCTACCACAAGCCATGCTAGAATAACCTATTTATAACTAAATATTTTAATTAGTAATAATAAATATTTGCATTAATACCTAAAAATGGCCCATTTAAAGGAATTGGCGCTTTATTCTAATACCGTAAAATATATACATTTTTATAATTCTGATATCTTCTGCATGTTCTGGTTCTCTGCCAGCTCAGCGCAGCACCGAAGAGGACATTTTAAAAGTCGTCCCCCACGCCGGCGGCGGCATCGGCTGACCTTCTTCTGCTTCTCCGGGGCCGGAAGGGCGCGCTGCTGCCACACGTCATCGTCCCTCCTCTCCATCTTCGTCTTCCTCTATTTATTGGTTCGTTTGGTCACGGATCTTGCTGCGGAGCGGCGCTCGTTCAGATCGCCATTGTCGTTGGAGGCGGCCATGATTTCGTGCTCGAATTGGTAAAAAGCTTGAAGAAGAGGTGGTGCTGGTGATCCAGAGGTGAGGTCGGAGGGAAGGCGGAAGAGTGCTGGCTCTGTGCAGGCCGAGATGCCGCTTTTGCTTGTCCCTGGGATGCTCGCGAGGTCTTCCTCCTCCCGCATCCTACCGTCGGCTGCGACCGCGGCGGTGACCAGGGCGTGGCTGACGTCGCCGCCCCTGACGCCTTGCTCCTCCGCGCCAGAGGCGGCGTCGGAGCCCAGGCGGTCCCCTCCTGTCTCGCCGTCTCGGCATTTCGGGGACTGGAGGTCCCCTCTGAGCCACCGTGCTCTGATCCGCTCTTCCGCCGCCGTGACGGAGCAATTCGAGAGGCGATTCGCTACTATCGGTGGGTTTGCTCTGCCGTCTTCCTTTTCCTGAGTCCATTGATTTCGGGGTTTGTACGTTGTTTCTCTCTCGGCCTAATCCCCATGTCTCTTATCCTGTGGAATTAGCTACGAAGAACTCGTATGAGAGCATCTTGACCTCCCTCTCCAAGCCGGGTGGAGGCGGCGAGTTCGGGAAGTACTATAGCCTGCCGGCTCTCAACGACCCCAGAATCGGTCAGCCGCTGACTCCTACTGCTCTTCTCTGTCCTGTCTGAAAGAACCTTCGGAGAGTCTCGTTTCCGTTTTCATCTTGTTTGGTTCTTCTCTGATTTCCTGGAAACGATGATGCTGCAGATAGACTTCCTTACTCAATAAGGATACTGTTGGAATCGGCGATTAGGAACTGCGACGAATTCCAGGTGACGGGTAAGGATGTGGAGAAGATCATCGACTGGGAGAACACAGCTCCAAAGCAAGTCGAGGTCCCCTTCAAGCCTGCGCGTGTTCTCCTACAGGTTCCACTTCCCACTCTGATATTTATTGGGCATCTTGAAGAATAAGTCCAGTCCAGCGAGTTCTATACCTGGCCTTGGCTTTAGGACATTATTGTTGTTAATATAGTGGTTTTATTTGGCGAACTGCTCAAGCTTTAACAATGAACGCTAATGATCAAAATGTTTTTTTTCTTCCGTATTTTATCTCAGTCTTATTAATTAAAAATCCAGACAAAGCCGTTGACCGTACATGTGGGAGTTATTTTAAATATGGTATTTGAGTTGACCACCTTTTTCGCACAAATTTTCAGGACTTTACGGGTGTGCCAGCAGTTGTTGACCTTGCCTGCATGCGCGATGCCATGAACAAGCTTGGTAGTGATTCAAATAAGATAAATCCACTGGTCAGTGATGCTTATTTACGTTTCATTTTATCATTCAACATTATCCTCTGCGTGTTCTGATCTTTTTCCTATGTCTGTATGCCCTGCATATTGTTAATATATTATAAGTTATCTAAAATCGGTTTCTGAACTCTGGTGAGATGCATAGCACAATAGTACAATAGTGGTCAATTGCCAATGTGGATAAAATTAGCTCGAGAAATCTAGGAATTGTAGAAGGATAATATAAGATGAATGCTTCAATATCACTGGGACGCTGCATAAAAGGTCATAGTGTTCCATTGTTTCCATCACCTGTGAGGAGCTTCTTCACCAAATGACAGTGCTATTTGTATCTCTCTTTCACACAGGGCTTCCTTCTTTAAAGTCATTCTCATCTTGAGATGTAAATGTGTCTTTGCTTTCATCAAATAACTTGGTGTCTTGAATGCCATGACTGCAGGTACCTGTGGACCTTGTCATTGACCATTCAGTGCAGGTCGATGTGGCAAGATCAGAAAATGCAGTGCAGGCAAACATGGAACTCGAATTCGAACGAAACAAGGAAAGGTTTGGTTTCCTCAAGTGGGGATCGAAAGCATTTAAAAATATGCTTGTGGTTCCTCCAGGGTCAGGGATTGTCCATCAGGTATCCTATAATCTAGCTCTGTCGTGTCGCATATTATTAATTATTTTTTCTTTCTTATCTTTTCAAAAATCAATCTTTTTGTTGATGGGAGATTGTGCGCCTTCCATTTTTCTCAAGATTTTGACATGATTCTAAAATGTGTTTGACAGGTGAATTTGGAATACCTCGGCCGTGTTGTGTTTAACAATGGTGGTCTGCTTTACCCTGATAGTGTTGTTGGTACCGATTCACATACAACAATGATAGATGGGTTAGGCGTTGCTGGCTGGGGAGTTGGTGGCATTGAAGCAGAAGCTGCAATGCTTGGGCAGGTAATCAATGCAACATTTTGTTTAAAATTTTAATTTTTGATGAGCTTACTTGAGGATTTCATGGAGGGTATGAAATATCACGTATGGTTACAAGTGGACGTGTTTATTTCTTTCTTCACACACTTACGTGATCAATTTTTGTTCTTTAACACTGTCCAGTCATGGAAAGATTTATTTTTTGGTACATTTTTACCATTGTCGCTTGCAACCAAATTAGTTTTCTCACGTGATCTAAATTTTCCTTTGTATCTTATTTAATAAAAAAAATTATTCAACACAGCCAATGAGTATGGTGTTGCCAGGAGTGGTGGGATTCAACTTATCAGGGAAACTGAAGGAAGGAGTAACAGCAACAGATTTAGTTTTGACGGTGACCCAGATTCTTCGTAAGCATGGCGTTGTTGGAAAGTTTGTGGAATTTTACGGTAAGCCAATCAGATTTTTCTCACATTCGGCTATTCATTTTGTAATTTTATGATGTATGTGATCATCATATCATATTTTGCATTACAGGGCCAGGGATGAGCCAACTTTCTCTCGCCGATCGTGCTACTATTGCCAACATGTCTCCTGAATATGGTGCGACCATGGGGTTTTTCCCTGTGGATCATGTTACTCTTCAGTACTTGAGATTAACAGGCAGAAGTGACGAAACAGTAAGATAGTGACAAATTAAACTGTGTTCCTTCGCTGATAACTTGTGAGTCATGCTGGTTGTGATCAATTTCAGGTGGCTATGATAGAGTCTTATTTGCGGGCAAACAAGATGTTTGTTGATTATAGCCAGGTAAGAAGTTCATTTATTGTCTGTGCAATGGAATTGCCTTATTTACTCTCTTTTCTGACTGGAAATCAAATCTCTTAACCAGCCCCAAACAGAAAGAGTATACTCCTCCTACCTTGAGTTGAATCTTGTGGATGTGGAGCCTTGTATTTCAGGACCTAAGAGGTAATGTTAAGCATGATAGATTTCTTGTCACTGTAATCATGTTACTGTTTCTTATTCTGAAAATTCAACTTCATTGCAATCGATTAGCCATCCCTTCTAATTCACTATTTTTTCTGGCGACTTTGTTTTTGTCAGACCACATGACCGGGTTTCTGTGAAGGAAATGAAGGCAGACTGGCACTCCTGCTTAGACAACAAAGTTGGATTCAAGGTTTGCTTTTTTAATTCCTTCTATTTGAATTTTTGATGATACAGTATGGAACTTGTCCTTCTTGTTAAGCTGCGTCACTCGCTGGAAAACAAGTGACATAATTTTCATAGTGTTATTCTTATAACTAAAATTATGCTCATCTTCTTTCCTCTGAAGAACCAAGGTATTCTCTATCCCTATCCAAAGTCACCCTCTCTGAAACCTTTGGGTGGCTCTTATGTAACCACATTTCTGGCCCATTTAACTATCCTTGGTTATGACTCCCATTCAACTTCCTTCATCACTCTCTCACGCTGTCTTTCTTGTTCCTCTTTCTCTACCGGATCACTCCTCAGGAATAACAAACTATAATCACCTAAAACCTTCTTTTAAGATTTAAGTAGACAAACGTAGACAACATATTAAGGAGAACGATAAGTTTGATATCTGGGTATGCATTCTTTAAATGATGTTTTGCAGGCCAGTGCCCTTTGTTTATATTTAGGCTCAGACAGGTAGGGGAGGATGTCTTGATGATTAATTATCCGTTCTTTTGTTCGATTCCTCGTAGAGTTGTTTCATTATTTAATCGTCTTAATGGCATCTAAAGTATATAACATGATATGAACATTTGTTGTAGCCTTTTTACAAGACAGAATAACGTGTTCCTGCATCATATTATTCAGTAAATAACTAACCTAGAGAAATTATTTCATTTTATCCTTTGGTTATATCTATCCCAAGGTTGGCTGCGCTGTCTCCATGAACAGAACACAGGAAGAACTGACATATTATAGCATGGGATACAGAATTGCTCTTTACAGCCATATTTCCTTTTTCTTCTCCTTCATAAGTACAGGATCAACATAAAAGTTTCTACAATAAAAAGGTTCTTATGTTACATTGTAGACTGACTATTGACAGTGAAACGGTAATTAGTAATGACCTGACAACAGATACGCTTCTTAGTGTTGAATTAGAGTTATCGGTTCTCTTATGTTTTTGAGTTACTTGAAAGTAGAAATAACGCTTTCCTATATTCCTCTTTGATGTACTATGCAGTTAGCTTTTAGAATTTCTCCAATAACAAGGATGAACTGTTCAAATATTGCAAAAACAAATTCTAGGTATTGAGATGTCCATTTATAGAAATCTATTTTTCTTTGGTCCCACCTTGGCATTTAAAAAAAGTTTTCCCTAGGAAGATGCAACATAGAGGGTTAAAAGCCACTACATATCGAAGAACTTTGATAGTCATAACCATAAATGTTCTAGTTGGTCTGGAGCGTGTTGACTTGCGGCATAATTAGACAGTGATACACATCTGAATCATCCATGACTGGTATTTACAGGGATTTGCTGTTCCAAAGGAATCTCAGAGTAAAGTCGTTGATTTTTCATTCCATGGAACTCCAGCGCAAATCAAACACGGAGATGTTGTTATAGCAGCAATCACCAGTTGCACAAACACGTCTAATCCTAGTGTGATGCTTGGTGCTGCTTTGGTTGCCAAGAAAGCGTCTGAATTGGGTCTTGAGGTAAGAAAACGCATTTATGTACGTCATGTAGCATTAGCGAAAGAGGGAATCCTCTCTCACTCTCTAGCTGATGATATTGATATCCATGGTCCTTTTCTTCTGGCCCTTTTAAACAGGTGAAACCATGGATTAAGACGAGTCTTGCTCCAGGTTCTGGGGTTGTAACCAAATACTTGGAAAAGAGGTATGGAGCTCATACATGATTATAATTACGTAAATCACTTGGTTACAACTCCTCGGAGTGAACTTTTCTTCTGTTTCTGTTCTCAGTGGCTTGCAGAAGTATCTAAACCAGCTCGGCTTTCACATTGTGGGGTACGGATGCACAACCTGCATTGGAAATTCGGGAGATATCGATGAGTCAGTAGCTGCAGCGATTTCTGAAAATGGTAATTTAATCAGCTGATCCTAGTAGATGCACAGCCTCCCTTCTCACGGTTACTATCCATTTGCAGACATTGTTGCTGCTGCTGTGCTGTCGGGAAATAGGAACTTTGAGGGTCGCGTGCATCCTCTCACTAGAGCAAACTACCTTGCATCCCCGCCACTCGTGGTGGCATATGCTCTTGCTGGCACGGTGCGTGGCAGGGAGATTGCCCATTGCCCCTGCTTTTCTGACATTATTTCCGGAAATGACTTATCGTCTATCTGGTGCAGGTCGACATCGACTTTGAGACAGAACCCATTGGGATCGGAAAAGATGGGAAGAAAGTATATTTCAGAGACATCTGGCCATCAAATGAAGAGATTGCGAATGTGAGCTTCACCATCGTATCTCCTCTCACCCATCGTCATCCTCATATGTTTCCTTTTCTGCTTCCAGGTGGTGCAGTCCAGCGTCCTGCCGGACATGTTCAAGGCTACCTACACAGCCATCACTGAAGGAAACCCGATGTGGAACCAGCTCTCTGTGCCCACAAGCAAGCTGTACTCATGGGACCCTGCTTCAACGTACATTCACGAGCCGCCCTACTTCAAGGGCATGACCATGTCCCCACCCGGGCCCCACAGCGTCAAGGATGCCTACTGCTTGCTCAACTTTGGAGACAGCATCACCACCGACCACATCTCTCCTGCTGGGAACATCCAGAAAGACAGCCCCGCCGCCAAGTATCTGGTGGAGCGGGGGGTGGAGAGGAAAGACTTCAACTCGTATGGCAGCCGCCGTGGCAATGATGAGATCATGGCGAGGGGCACCTTTGCCAACATCCGCATCGTGAATAAGCTCTTGAAGGGAGAAGTAGGGCCTCACACGGTCCACATCCCATCTGGAGAGAAGCTTTCTGTGTTCGACGCTGCCACGGTAAATCTTGCTCTCTTTTGATTCGAACACATATCCTCTTTTAGAAAATCAAAAACAAAAATAAATAAATTCGTGGGTGTTTGGCGAAAACGGAAATGATTGATCTTCTGATTTCTACATCCGATGCTTAATAGTTATTACTATTTTGAGCAGAGATACAAATCCCAGGGGCACGACACAATCATCTTGGCCGGGGCTGAGTATGGCAGCGGAAGCTCCCGCGATTGGGCGGCTAAAGGACCAATGCTACTGGTACGTAAGCTGAACAAACTCATATTCTGAAGGAGAATCCTTCACCTCTGCTTTATCGGTATGTGTGGATCCGGATGCAGGGCGTGAAGGCCGTCATCGCCAAGAGCTTTGAGAGGATCCACCGCAGCAATCTGGTGGGGATGGGCATCGTCCCCCTCTGCTTCAAGGCCGGGGAGGACGCCGAGACGCTCGGCCTGACCGGCCACGAGCGATTCACTATCGACCTCCCTAGCTCCGTGAACGAGATCAAGCCGGGGCAGGACATCACCGTGAAGACCGACACCGGCAAATCCTTCACCTGCACCGTTCGCTTCGACACGGAGGTACCCCAGAACCATCCGATTCACGGCTTCCTTTCTTTAGCGAGAGAGAGAGAGAGAGAGAGAGAGAGAGAGAGAGGTGGAGAGCACAGGCTGATTCCTCTCTCATCTGCTGCAGGTGGAGCTGGCCTACTTCAACAATGGCGGAATTCTTCCGTACGTCATCAGGAACCTGATCAAAGCGGACAGCTGAGCTGATTCCCGACTGGATTGGAGACAAGCAAATTCTTGGCGGCAACGTTTTGGTGCCCCGGGAGTCCGCGCGACGTTTTGGGTTTAGTTCCGTGCCCCAAGACCAGCGAATAAAAGAGGGAATAAAAGGTTGTCTCGGATTAGGTGATGGCTGCAGAGATGAATGACTCCAGATGAGACCGTGGCAGTCGGTCCACTAATGCCAGTATATTTTATTTTTTTCCAGACTCGGGTCTCCTCCAACTCGAGCTCTTGAGTTCAGAGGGTATTTTTTTTTTAGATTTTGGTCTTTGAGATTAAGCTCGGAGAGTCCTTTTCTGCTATATTTGGGTTCCGAAGCCTACTCTCTCTCTTACTCTCTCTCTCTCTCTCTCTCCCTCCCTTCTCTCTGTGTTCTGGGCTTCATAAGGGTCCGGCTCGGAGCTAGTTTCTAGGACCATCTCCAAGGACAAGAATGAGGGCAACGAATCTACTATTCGCTAATGACTCAGATGCATTATTTAGGCACAAAGCTCAGAATTTAGTCGGAGGGGGCCACGAGATCAACGATCAGCATGAGCTGATGTCGTAGACTTCCTTCACCATCCAACGTACTCTCCAAAAGATGGGCCCGATCCTGCCCCCCCCCCCTCCCCCCCGTGTTTTCCAAGTGGCAGGTACCAGCGCCAAGTAATCTGCCAGGTGCACACGTCTGCATTCTCGGGCATCATCTGGCGTGCACGTGGCGAGCAGAGGTTGTGTCCTCAAAATGGCAAGGGCGTTGATAGGTGTCGTCAGACGGAGATATTTCCGGGAGATGCGCACACCAGAAGAGAAGTGACACCGGAACTGAGGCTCTGTCTCTCTATCATTTCGTACGTATCTCGAATGAAATACGCCACCCTGGGTCAAGAAGGCGCTTCCGCACGTTATGATGAGGCTGTTAAGAATGGGAATATCAAAGTGTGTCCGTCCAACACAGTGATAGTAAGTAAGTCAACGGGCAGAGCAGAGAGTGGCCTGGAAGTAGAATGGGAATATCAAAGTGTGTCCGTCCAACCCAGTGATAGTAAGTCAACGGGCAGAGTGGACAGTGGCGTGGAGGTAGTAGAATGGGCACATCAAGATACTCCGGGTAGAGTCTTCCCAAGCCTGGAAAAGGGAAAGCAGGATGATATCACGTGAAGAGCAACACACGAAGAAAGAAAGAGAGTTCTCTCAGTAGAAAGCCAAGCCATTTCGCACGGAGTCAGCCGCTAACTGTTCATACATTGTGCGATAAGAACACCGATGAGAAAAACATCAGCACAGAAGAACATCGTCGTCAGCCTTTTTCTGTCTTGTTAATCCTCCCCGCAAGACCACAAGATCAACGGCAGGAGTCAACGCTCTCAAATGCCGAGCTCACTGCCATCCAAAGCAAGGGTCTGAAGCTAAATCATAACTGGTACAAGGATGTGATATCTAAATCTGATGGTAAGGTAGCATCGTTTTCGTGGGATGAACAAGAGACGATGATGATATATAACTTGCATCCACTGAAAGCATCGAGGACACCTGAGAAGAAAACATTAGCAAAAGTCTCAGCCGCGTATGATCACACTATATCGCCCTTTCCATGGGAGGCTTTTTTCTGTCAAAATCATAGGTTTGCCATTCACAGGGGTTTGGATGTCTCGATTAAACCCTACATAGGGATTATGATTCTATCCGGATGGGGGTAGTTGACTGCCACATACGTCATCCAAAGCTGCTTCGGGGCAGTTGACTCACCGCACCGAACAGCTAAGCTCCTTGTGATTAAGAACAACACTCTTGGGTTTATTTCTATGGCTTCCTACTCAATGTTCAAAAATTTGGTAACATCGAAATTCCCAAGGAATATCAGAAAAAAATGCGACTAACATGACTTTAGTAAAGATTTCATCTACTGGGCATGCCTGGATATGCAAGATGTTCGAGTATCTGACCCCTCAGCCCGGAGTCATCGAATTGCTGATCTACCTGAATCTCTACAGTGTCACTGCGAATAGTGAGGATCATATGTATCTACACAGGGAGGAGGAAATGAAAACAGCCCTTTTGGACGGCATTACTTCACAGAAACAAAGAGGAGTACCTTCAGTATGTCTAGTAAGCCTTGAACTCGTGGACTCGCATCCACTTTGTAGAAGACCATTTATTCCCCTTGATCACAGGGCATCCTCCTGTAAGAGATTTGGAGAACATTCGCCATTACAAACGGCTATAAATGAGAAAATATGAAATAATTTGTGCAGGATAGAAAATTCTCACCAAGTAGGAAAATATACTATCATGGGAAAGCCAGCAGATAACAAAAAGACTTTGGAAAATAAACTAAGTCACGTTCGTATTAATCTCATTAGTACTTGTCACCTAGGTTAGAGGTATCTCACCGTGTAGGCTTAACTCATCGAGAGTAGCATCAGGCTTCATGCTCCAGAAAAGTAAAGCATCTCCCATTCTTGGCTTGACACCAAGTCCCTTTCTACCGCATTCAGATAGCTCATTGTAGTCCGGTATAGCACTGATATTGACGGATGATGCAGAGGGAAAAATTGTCTCTCCTCCTTCTTCAACATCAGAGCTTTATAAATAAACAAGGAACAAGGACAAGGGGTTAAATATCGTTGATTGAAAGTAACTAAGCATACATCTAAAGCACCTATGAACGAGGGACAAGATGCTCACAGATACATAAGAAGAGTAGCAATCCGTTGTCCTCCATTTTGGGTGTTCACTTCATCAAGGAAGTAATCCCAATGTGGTTCATACTTCTGTCCAAATTCATAATGGAGAATTTGAAGGCCTTCTCCATGCTCTGTACATAAATGAAATCAACACATAAACTAAAGGTAAAAAAATGAAAAAAAAAGACAATGAAAATTATAAATTAGGGAAGAAAGTGAAGCAATCTGCACACCAGACAACAGATGGATCAACAAAAGAGTACGAGATGGTGTTTACACACAACAAGCCAGATAAAATTCGCTTAAAATCATGATTACCAGCCATATCGTATTTAAATCTGAAATCAAGAGGGCAAACATGCACATTATTGTAGTTTTACGTCAAATAAAAGGGACTTATTAAGTAATGACTGAATTTTTTAAAGCAAGATCCTAGCCATGTCAGGTCTATAAAGACAGTGACGAGTCTAGAATCAGAACTAGTTTAAGGTAAAGATCTAAAGAGTAGTGAGCGTACTAAGTAATTATGCTTTACTCATAACGTATGAAAACAAGAATCCCAAAGGTACACAGAAGAGTACAATCACGTGTTTTAATGTACAGATTGCTCCTGAGGCTTACCCACAGGAATGAAGGTGAAATCTGCAATTCTTTTCTCAATCGCCCGGATGATTTTGTCTTGCCCTCTCTTAAGAAATGTTCCAGAGCTTGTCCGAACCCTGTCAAATAAACACTAATTATAACAGTAAAAGCCAATGGCGGAATTACCAAATGTACATCATAGATGGAAGATTTCGACGTCCTAAATATATCAATCAACATTTAAAAAATCTTGTGTTTACGAGTTCCCTAGTGTAATCAACGAGCAACTTTAGGAGGTTGGAATAAAGTAGGTATGGGGCACGAGCCATGGAGTCAAGAAGACCACCTACTATGGAAGATACATCTCTTAGCAACCAAGGAATCTCAAAAATCGTGATGTACTATACGAAATGCAGTGATTTTGGAAGAAAGACCATAAATAAAACAAAAAAAAATCAATTCCATTAACCAGACATAGAGGATCATTGGCAGATTAATTCAAATTTCAAATTAAAGATGATCGTAGTACCGACCTGCTATCTTTACTTTGACCAGTTTCACTATCAACAACTGTTGACTTTTCCATGTGAGGTTTGGCCAGCTCAATTAGATACTCGCATTCTTCCCTGGACTGCACAAGAAAATATGAAGCTTGAATTTGCAGCAACTCTCAGCATTTGCGAATTCTTCTTTACATACTATATATGCTTTAACAAAAAGGAAAAATCACTTTTCAGGTAATAAACCTTTGTCATAATAATATTGCATCCTGCTCTAATAAACATGGTCCAAAATTCAAAAATATCAACTCTGTGGAATAGTCAAATGCAATAAATCAACTTAGGATCCTGCATAACACCTCCAGTTTTGTCCAGATATGTTGGACAACCTCTCAAGAGAATATAACTGATAGCCATAAATTCACGAGTAAACTGTCATTCCTTCATGATCTGGCCTTCCCATACTAGACTAGGCTAGTCTTAAAGAATTTTAGAATCCATATCTTAAAATATGCTCACATTTCACAGCTTCCTTATAGAAATTAGCATCACGTAACACGCTTTCTATGGTACAATGAACTTCCAATAAAGCTGTACGTTCTGTACAATGAGATAATTCTGGATAGAAAAGCTTCCGACCATAAAGATGAAGAAACTCTATTTTCCTTTCCATTTGTGTGTGGCCAAATGCCAAATTTGGAATCTTCAAGTCTGAAACTCCTCTCAGCGGAATAATGTCGTCGTCCAGATCAATGGTATCAAGTGGGAAGTAGTTGGATGGAAAAGGAAGATAACAGAAGGAAATAGACAATATCCCAGGAGCAAAGAACTAAGCTGCAATGATTAAATGCTAAAAACGTCACAAATCCTGAAGAACCTCTAACAGTGAATAGCGGATCTGTATATTTATTTAAATATGTAAATCTGCGAGTTTTACGTATAAATAATTCTGGAAAATGAACTCAACACAAAGGACTTCGGAAAAAAAAATCTGAAGTCACGTTCTGTCCCTCAATCGCAAAAAGAAATCACATAAAAACTAGAAATTTAATGCAGGGGGGGTGAAGAAACTACTTCAACAAGAAATAACATTAATCGAAAGAGATTTCTGAATATACATTTTGTCTTGAAGCTTAGTATGTTCAGTGTAGATTCTCATGACATTATTCGGGCATCTTTTTAACTCTCGAAAGCATTCTTTTAAATCAGACAAATGAGCAACAAATCAAGGAATAAGAATATTCAGAATGCTCTATTGAGGGGGGGGGGGGAGAGGGGAGTGGTTCGCTACCAGATCTCTCACCACCTTGGGAAAATCGGAAAATTCAGCAAAAAAAAGTGGGAAAAACGCCGAATTCTGAACAAAGAATTGGATGCCGCACCAAGAAATTATGATACATGAACGCCCTCGGCTCCCAGGAGAGAACCTCCGTCCACTGATCCCCTCTCGTCCCTAGTCCATCGCTGCAAAGAAAAAAGAAAACAAGGAAACCTCCAGATCCATCAGCCAGACTCCCATGAGGGAGAGATCGCGTCCGGTCTTCGGCACGGATGACCAGGTTGTGAAGAGGGCGGCGGATTTGCGCACCTATGAGCCACCTTCCTCTTAGGCGCATGAGATGTGCTCTCCAGATGCCGCTCGACGGGATGCTCGACCTCTGAGGAGTCACTGGAGACTGGCAGGGAGAAGATGCCGAGGGCGAGCAGCAGCAGCAGAACGACGGACAACGTCAGCAGAACCGTCAGCACCAGCGTCCAACGCGATGACGACCTCCTCCATTGGTAAGGCCGGGAATTCCTCATGAGACCCCTCGCCATTGTGGCAGAGAACGACGAAGAATCGATGGCACCACCCCCGTCCTCGGCGCTTCCTCCACTCTGGTCAACCGCAGCAATTGTACAAGAAGATCTACATCGCTAACAAACCCAGTCATTTTATATCGCAGAGAGAGAAAGAAGATGAGAAGGAACGAAGGTCCCGCGCACGTGACATTCAACGTGGCATATCTCGAAAATACCATATTGCCCTAACCTTTGATCGGTTGCTCTCTCTCCAGAAGATCACTAAACCCCCCCTCCCCCGCGTCGGCTAACTGGTCGCCGAGGGCATTTTAGTTAAGACTTTATGGTACTCACCCCCTCGGGTCCACACCGACCCCACGTGCGTTGGGACCGTCGTTGACGCTGCACGTGGGAGACCTCTGGTAACGCGTCGAGTATTGACTTGGCTTGTCCGTGCGTGACCCCACCGCCATCTTTATCTTCCTTCCAGAAGTCTCACTATTAGTTGACGAGGATACATAAACCCTCGAATGATAGCCTCTAATGACGAGAAGCCGAGAAGTCAACAACTCTCTCTCTCTCTCTCTCTCTCTCTCTCTCTCTCTCTCTCTCTCTCTCTCTCTCTCTCTCTCTATCTTGTGATGAGCTTAACAAGGTGGAATGGGGTGGGCCTATTCTTGGTGCATTTTAATTTTTTTTTTCATTCCATAAAAATAATTGTGCATCATATTATTTGAATATAATCATATTAATAATTATTTAATATATAAAAATATATTTGAAAGAAGAAAATGCCCTCTTATATCTTGCTACTTGTGACACAAATTGCATGAAAAAACTATGTTCTGAGAGAGAATCTATTACGTGACGCATACATGACATGGTGTGGCACATGCATGGCATGGTGTGGCATGGTGCAACATGACATTAGCAGAGTGTGGCACACTATGGGCATTAATTATGTGACAAAGGGTCGTGCACCCACGTATGTAATAGTTGATGCCCACTATGTGCCTATATTGCACACCATCATGCCACGAGTTGCATACCCATAACCCCGCTAAAAACCTTCACCACTTTTGTCACAAATAAGGATGACTACCATGGTGATTACACTAATTTCCGCCAGGTAGAGAGAGAGAGGGGGGAGGAGGAGAGAGAGAGAGGGAGTGGGAGAGAGAGGAGAGAGAGGAGAGAGAGAGATAGTGATTAATAGATGAAGTAGAGATATTGACAAGTTAATTAATTGTATCTTATGTGCTAAAAAAGAAGCAAATGAAGATTTGTGAGGAATTACTGGTCTTAAAAAAGAAGGGTCAATGGATAATTTGCCTAGTTTATAGGTGGAGCGAATAATCTTCATTCATGGGGGTATTTTCAACATGACAGGGGTAAATAATGAAGAAAAAGTTGTTTTTAGAGTACATAGCTGATTATAAAACTTTTTAGGGACTGAAAGTAAGGTGTTATTGGGGTTACTCATAATCTAAATAATGCTTTCACTTCGTCGGCATCCTCTAACGGAATAACGGAATCAGAACGCTCGCCGGTCGGCGTCTGGACTTGGCGGGAAAGGTGGAGCGAGAGTGGAGCAGAGAGAAGATCAGAGAAGTGGAGAAGGTACGGGAGGGGATCCAGGGGAACCGGCGGCGCCGCCGGCGGACGACGTGTCCTCTCATGGCGATGGTTGCTTCTCCTCTCTCGCCGGGGTGTCGAGAATCTCTGCGCGCCGAGGAGAAATCAAAGAGAGGAGGGGGTGGGGAAGAGGATCGGAAGTTGTGGGGTTGCCCTTGGGAACATAGAGTGGCTCCTCGTGAATCTTCGGTTTCACCTTCTCTTTTGCAGGGCATCGGTATCTAAGCTTGAGATGGAGGACATTCAGATGCCCGCAGGTCCCGAATCTCTACGAGAGGAGGAGCAAGTAAAGAGAAACATGCCTTCCTTTGTCCCTCGTCACCTCAGCTTTCGGCGGCGGAGCAGCGGTTTTATAGGTCCCTTGATGGTCATATCCATAGTTCCATGGCTCCTCCTCCACCGCCACCGCCGCCAGCGGCGCCAGTAAATGGCGCTCCTTTCAGTTCCGATCGCTCCTCCTCGGAGGACATTTTGCTTCATGGCGACCTCGACCTATGGATCTTCCAGGCTCGTAGCCTCCCCAATATGGACATGTTCTCTGTGCGCCTGCACCAGTGCATCCCATCTTGCTGTGTGAGCGGCCAGCAGGAGGAGGTGGCCGCCTCCGCCCCTGCTTCCTCCCCCTCCCAGATTCATCAAAGCTTCCGGTACCGCAGGATCACCAGTGATCCTTACGTTACTGTCCGCCTTGCGGGCGCCACAGTTGCCCGTACAGCTGTGATAAGTAATGCCGAATTTCCGGTCTGGAACGAGCACTTCGTCTTCCCAGTGGCCCATCCTACGTCCTTCGTTGAGTTTCTGGTCAAGGAAAATGATATCTTCGGCGCAGAGAATATCGGGACCGTGAAAATCCCAGCCAGCCGGGTAGTCTCAGGGGATCTCATTCGGGATTGGTTCCCCATCATTGGGTCATCTGGAAAGCCGCCAAAACCAGATTCGGCGCTCCTCATCTCGTTGCAGTACAAGCCCTTGGAGCTCAACGCATCATACAAATATGGCATAGCAGGCGATGCTCATAAGTCGGGTGTCCAGGGAACGTACTTCCCCGTAAGGAAAGGAGGGCTGGTGACACTTTACCAGGACGCGCATGTGAATAATGGTGACCTTCCGGAAATCAAATTGGAGGGTGGGAAGGCATTCGATCATGCGAAGTGCTGGGAGGATATCTGCCAAGCGATACTGGAGGCTCGCCACCTTATTTATATCGTGGGTTGGTCAGTCTACGACAAGGTTAGGCTGGTGAGAGAGCCCACAAGATCGTTCCCAGAAGCTGCGAGGCTGACTTTGGGAGAGGTGCTCAAGCATAAGTCCCAGGAAGGTGTGAGGGTGTGCCTGCTAATTTGGGATGATAGGACGTCTCGAGACAATTTGATTCTCAAAACGGTATATGATCGATCTATAAACATGTTTGACGCAGATTATGAGTCCTCTGAGATCGATGGTCACCAAATTTTAGATTACGCCTGTGAGCCGGTTGTCTGGCTGGCTTGCTTGATTCAGTAGTTTTGTTGTGGTTCCTTTTTGTCTCCTTGCTTAACACGTTGGCAACGAGTAATTATGAAAGAAATTAGTATCGGGTCTTTTTTTCTGAAGACAAATCACCTTTCTTGTGTAATTGTGCCTAATGAAATTGTTATTTTCTCCAGTAGTGTGTGGTTTCTCGTTCATTTTTCTCTAACATTTTTAATAAAATTCGTCAATCATTCTTTCTTAAAGTATATGATGTCAACATTAAAATTTAATGATTGTCACAGGAAGGAGTAATGCAAACTCATGATGAGGAAACACGGAGATTTTTCAAGCACTCTTCTGTTATTTGTTTGCTGTCACCTCGTGATGCCAGCAGTAAACTCAGCCTTTTCAGGCAACAGGTTAAGCCGGGCTTTTGTTTTTGTTAAAGAAAGCTCTCATTTTATTACGTATCAAACTTTCTACGGGTAAAAAGTCTGTCAGAACATCCTCCAACTGGAGTCTCCAATGAGGTTTTGTCTCACTTATTAAAGAAAGCCATGATCAACAATACTTAATTGATGGAATTTCCTTTGTTTCTCCTCCCAGTGACATTCTATCATAAAAACATGTTCATGCACTCATTCAAATTATTTAGGTCAATATCATTTATTTTATATGCCTATTTTTTGTTTTGAAATGTGTTCTAGGCCATTTTCCTGCAGAACTATGCACGGATGACGTAGGAATTAGTTTATATTCTTCAAAGGCATTTTGCCATCATTAAGAAGTAAATTCTGAGGGAATGATCATCTCTGCTTGTCGACTAAAGTGTTTGGACGTTTGCTGACAAATTTGGTTAATGCGCTGTGAGCAATTTTCTTCTTTCTGTTCCTCTCTGCAGTATGAACCAGTATTTTTGGTTCTCTGTAGAAAAAGGCGTTCTTGAAAGGTGCATTTTCTTTTTTTCCAGTGCCTACATCTTCTCAGCCATTCTGAACTCATCTTGTACGTTTCCTTATAATTGATTAAGTGAATTTTTTTCTTGCGGGAACTTTTTCTTGAAAGGTTGATGAGACGGACTACACCCTAGAGGGATAATCTCTCATTGTTTCAAGCAAATAGAACCTAATAATTTAATGTGGCTCTTAAGTGAACAATCAGGTTATAAAACCATGGAGAGCTCTATTGTTGGGGATGTGCCCAAGGAATTGCGACTAAATAATGAATGAAATATTTTGGGTTTCAACTCAATAAATAATATTTTGAAGTCGTTGACTTAATGTCAATCCAACTATTCAGGAAGTCGCGTCATATTACATTATTTATTATCAAACTCTATTCAGCAGAATGTGCCCTTATTTATATATGCAATACATTTTTCCCTGCTCTATTGTCCTTGTAAATTGATGTTGAAAAACTGATAGCTGATGATGTTCTACATTGGTGAATGTGTAGCCATTACAAAAAAAAAAAAACTAGGAAACATAGTATTAACATATGACATTGAAATCTAAGATTATTATTTACGTTTTTTCTTGTGACTTTTCACTGATGCGAGGCTAACAAACTAGTGCCTAGAATCCAAATGTGAGTTTCTGCATTGATAATTATGGAAAAAAATGCTCCATAGAATCCAGGCTGAACGATATTAAGTAAAAATTTGGATATAATCATCATGGTATCTGCAAAACCGGGGTGAAGTCAATTAAATTTTTTCCAGTGACGATTTTTTAGGAAATCATGTTTAATATCTATGTACGTTCTTTCATCCTTTTAGGTATTGAGTTTATTCATTTTTTGAAAATAATTCCATTAATTCATTAATTCATTAATAAGAATGCAACCAATGTATCCAATGAGCCATATGCTCTATCGTAAAAGTTTATTGGCTAAAAGTCTCATTACTACTCTTTGATAAGCATAGCTTAAAACGTTTTACAAAGGACAATTATCACTGAAAATCTCCTTGGTGATTACTTTATGTGCATTGAGGCTTAATTTCCATGTCTCCATTCCTCGACCTAAGATCTCCAAGAAGGAAAATTTCCATGATCAATGCTCTCATATCAAAGATGTTTTCATGTGTAACCTGCGTTGTATGATACATGAGACTCAAAAACTGAGTGGTGATCATATGATACTCCAAAATAGATGCATTTTGTTTTTTTTTTCAAGGATTTTTTCCATGCATATTTTAACCGGTGATGTTTTGATCATCTGTGGTCTGACACCGACAGTCATGTTGTTAATAGTTTCTGCTTCTTTTTGAGCATGTTGAACTTCATGAATTTTTTTCTTTGTTATTGTCTGCAATCGTTAGATCCACAAACGTTTTATGACCTAGTTTTTTCTTATAGGTTGTGGGAAACCTGTACAGCCATCATCAAAAATGTGTGTTAGTTGACACACAAGCTTCTGAAAATACCCGAAAGATCACTGCTTTTATGGGCGGTCTTGATCTTTGTGACGGTCGTTATGATACACCAAGGCACAGGCTATTCAAGGATCTTAACACTGTCTTTCTTAATGATTTCCATAATCCCACATTCTCTGTAAGTGTCTTGTCTGTTTCCATAAACTTGTGCTTACAATCTGAAGATGCTAAGATCATATGAATGAGAACCTTGTCAAAGCTCGACGTATTTTTTTAGTGTAGTCGTTTATTCCTATCGTTATGGAGATTAAATTATTCAGGCGCTTTTTACCTATTGAGATTTTGACCTTTCACTTCGTTTGAATCAAATGATGGACACAGACCTAAATTTAAGAATAGAAAATCATTGTTGGGAATACCTATTGAAAATGGTAGATACGATTATCTACGAATTTTTCTCTACTTAACCTTTTTTTTTCCCGTTTGCCTCCCATAGCCCTTCCATATTTGTTAAGAGGAAAACAAAAGTAATCAACTATATAATTTTTTACAATTAATAGTATAATACTAAAACGTAAAAATTAATTAGAAGTTAATAATATATTTTTTCAGTAAATGAATGTTGTGTGTTGTATGTTAAGTCTTATAACCGAAGTTTCCCAAGAAATTCGCTCAGTATAATTTCAGGAACCTCCTAAAAGTGGATATGATTTCTTAATTCTACTTTTATTGATAAAGGGTGTTCTTTTTTTCCTTTTATTTTTTCAAAATATTCTTGATGTTCTCCCACAATTTCCGTGAGGTTCTTGTTCGTAAACGCTTGATTAAAGGTACCAATCAGAAACGCAGGAAAAAAATCATGTTTATGGGCTCCAGATCCCTGGTTGGCAAGGTCATGAATATTCAGATAATTCTGTAAACTAATATGATGGGGTATCATATTTATTATGGAATTTTTTTCTTTATTATTATTTCTTTATAGGGAGAAAATAAAGGCCCAAGACAACCATGGCATGACCTACACTGCAAGATCGAGGGCCCTGCTGCATATGACGTCCTTAAAAACTTTGAGCAGCGTTGGCAAAAGGCAACAAAGTGGTGGAAGCTGAGACAATATTTGCGAACAGCATCTCGTCATGGAGAGGACGCGTTGTTAGAGCTTGAACGCATCCCATGGATCATCAGCCCATCACTTACTGTTCCAGATGATCATCCTAGCCTTAGTGTTTCCAAGGAAAACGACCCTGGAAACTGGCATATTCAGGTGTTGCAAGATTCTACTTATCCCTGATTTTTCTCTTCAATATATGAGTTCTGGCTTTTAACTTTCCCCCTTCCTGTTCAGGTGTTCCGGTCCATTGACTCCGGTTCTGTAAAAGGATTTCCAAAGACCGTTAGAGATGCTGAGAATAAGGTTTGTAAGAAAGAATTGGATTATTGTGACGATAAAAGTTGCTTTCTGTCACATGATATTCCGCGCATTTTTAGCTTCGTTGTGTCGATCCTGTGTTGACGGTTTTTATTATTTCATTAATATATTTGGGTAATTCAGATAAAGGTATTTCTGTATCTTTTTCTTTTTTTCATGAAGTGTTAAATATCTGAACTGGGTCATGTAGGCGTTGGTGGTTGCACTAAGAAAAACACCCTTACTACCATCCACCTTTACATCTCTCAGACGTATTTTGTCTCCATCACATGATACCAGGCAAGTTTTCAGAGAGGGATCAAGCTAGGAGCGCCGATGAAAGGGAAATGATGTTTTGTTTTATTAATTCTCAGAGGGGATCAAGGATGGGGATTATCTCAAATTTCTGATGTGGTCTCACTCCTTTCCTTTCCTCGAGCGCCATCACTAAATCCCAAGGTCTTAATTACCTCTTCTGCGTCCTTTTCTGAGATCACCATCACCGAACCATACTATTCGCGACTCTTTCACTCTCTCTTTCCGTCCTCCGAGCATCAATCACTAGAGTCTATGTTACAACTCTCCTTCCCCCCCCAAAGACACTACCACCAAATCCAGGAGGATTTTCGTAATAGGTTTACTACAACAAATGGATTTCTAATATTATTCACCTGTTCATCATTTCCTGATCACGATATTAGTAAATACCAGGTTTTAGAGACTAAGGGCCGCCGAATTACTTTGGTTCCTTTCGTCATTCGTGAAAACAAACTGAAAAAGACACTATTTTCTGAACACACTACAAGCTTCTCGCCCCTGAACTGCTGATTTGATCAGAAGGATTCGATTGGGAGTTTAAGCATTTGATTCTCTTCAAAAACCTATAAATACACTATAATAATGAAAATGTACTCGTTCATATTAATATTATGTATATACTTCATTACCTTGCAGTTGTATCATTTTATCTCTTAACACCATATCAGGTCCTCGGAACCACCTGATTTGACCATCCGAATGGTTGCCACTGGTTCCTTCGGGAATCTGATCCAATTTAATTTAACGTGTCCTGTAATTCGTCATTCACTTTTCACTTTTGGAGTAAATTAATATTGCCTTTTGATTTTCTTTTGAGATCCTAATCGTTATTTATGTTTCCACGCAGAACCTTGTTTGCCAGAAGAACCTGAAAGTCGATAAGAGCATACATACAGCATACGTCAAGGCAATCAGATCAGCAAAACACTTCATATACATTGAAAACCAGTATTTTATTGGTTCTTCGTATGGCTGGCCTTCCAGGAATCCAGGTTTCCAAAAACTCACGTTTTGTTCTTTCTCTCTGCAATCTTCAATTTCATACGATCTCCAACAAGAAGAGACGACACCTGATACCTTGTTATCTGTATAATGTTGTCGTCAAATAAAAACTCCACGTGATGTACAAAACACGGCAGCCCTTTTCTGATATATCATTTGCAGGTGCTGACAACTTGATTCCGATGGAGTTAGCACTGAAGATTGCTAGTAAGATCAGAGCCAGAGAGAGATTTGCAGTTTACGTAGTCATTCCAATGTGGCCCGAGGGGGTGCCTTCATCTGCTGCTGTACAAGAAATTCTATTTTGGCAGGTACATTTTCGAATAAAGTTGAGATGGCCGAGTTGGTCTAAGGCGCCAGATTAAGGTTCTGGTCCGAAAGGGCGTGGGTTCAAATCCCACTCTCAACAACATTTAAACTTATGTTTTTCTATAGCCGATTTTTAAAAAAAGTGAAGTAGGGTTTGAATGAATTCGCCTTTCCTTTCCTTTCATTTCGAAGAAAAATAGAATCAAAGCGTTTCTGTTTTTTTATTTGTTTCAACAAAGTTTTAAAAATCCACCCTTTGATTCTTTTTGTACTATCAGCAATCGCCAAAGATTGGCTTATGATCAGTGGCATCAGCTGGTCTACTACGTGCTTTAAAACTCTCAATACTAGACCAGGTTATCGCCTTCTGTACATGATCTGCTGAAAGATGATTCTCTGCCTAGTATTTTTATTTTCACTTCTATCTCAGAAATTATCTATTATGAGCTTTAATTTAATCTTTAAATAGAAAAAAAATGTTTTCTTTTGAATACATATTTTTAATAGTAATCCCGGAGAGTTTTTATAAGAGGTGGACAAAAAGTTACGTTTCCTCGTCTTCCTGTTCCTTTAATTTTTCTCAATATTACCAAGAACGGGAAAGAACACTTCTGACTGATAACAACAATGAAAATTTTTAAATATTTAGAAGTTAACATCTGGTTAATGCGTTTTCTAATTTAAACTGACATCATAAGAACAGTGAATTACATGCGTGATAGATGTTAACTTCTAATTTAAACTGACATCATAAGAACAGTGAATTACATGCGTGATAGATGTTAACTTCTAATTTAAACTGACATCATAAGAACAGTGAATTACATGCGTGATAGATGTTAACTTCTAATTTAAACTGACATCATAAGAACAGTGAATTACATGCGTGATAGATGTTAACTTCTAATTTAAACTGACATCATAAGAACAGTGAATTACATGCGTGATAGATGTTAACTTCTAATTTAAACTGACATCATAAGAACATTGAATTACATGCATGATTCTCCCAATAAAAATTACAGTTTCAAAAATCCTGTATTCCGTGGAGGACTGCACAAACCCATGCTCATGTATGGAACGTACCCATGAGTTGAGTGTGTGTGCATCAGTTTCTATACTTTTGTAGAAGCATTTCTCATTTGATCAATGGAAGTATTTTTGTATTTTCAGTCTCTAGTATTCATGTTTAATGAAGTACTTTTGTTCCCTACTGACCAGCATAAACCCATGCCGTGAAGAACATATACCTATGAGTGGGCGTGCCCGTGTGGGAGTATTCGATTTTTTGTCTCAAGCAACGAATGTTGCATATCTATCAATAGAGCTATGATCGCAGTTTTCGCTTTGTACGTTTGAATAAATTAGTTCACCAGAGACAGACCTGCCTATGTCCACTCTTTTGTCTACAACGATGTGATGGGTCATAATTATCAACTATTTCTCTTTACATCCTTGAATGTGTTCACTACAGCACTTCTGCGGCAGGCTCAGTAACCTAATCTATCTGTGGTCTGAATAATGCCAAATTCTAACCATTCTTTCATTCGATTATTCCCCAAGCGGAGATTATTTTTTATGATTAGATGAATTTCTGCTGTATTTTCACATCAGATGTAGCCTTTTTTGGCTTTTCTTCTGATGGTACTTCTCATCTATTCATCTTGCAGAGCCAGACCATAAAGATGATGTATGGAATTGTTGCTCAAGCGATAAAATCTTCGAACTTGAGCCTTCATCCGACGGATTATTTAAACTTCTATTGCCTTGGTAATCGAGAGCCCGTGGAAACAGCGTGGTCTACTAATCCAACTTCAGAAAGCAGCACTGCGGTACTGTGCTAAGTACTCCCTTTCGATCTGTTCTGCTTAATGTTACTATTATCAGGTAGATTTATTAGGTGTGATGATTATTTATTACTAAAGTGCCGTCTTAGGTGAATCATTTTTCACTTTCGTCCTGATGCAGAGCTGAATTGGTATCCACTTGGTACCATGGACCTGAGAAAATAGACAGATTGGCCTCTAAGTATATAAAAGAAAAGCTATTTCCAGTTATAGCGAGTCTTGATACTAAGATTTCTTTGATATAAAACCATGTAAAATCGATTTATTGAGGCCAATTTGGGCCTGCGTACAAGATGATTTCTTTATGATATTCTTTGAGTCGAAGAGGATCTCAGAGCTTTCCTTTTCATTTTGAAAAAGAGTTCAACACCCTCATGACGATCAATGAGAAATCGTGCTCATATCTCATCTGGCACAGACTAGCATCTCAAGTTACGCCCACATTGACACGAATACCACCCTGCACTTTGAAAGTATTTGACAAATACCCTTTAACTCTCTTTTATTTTTCTAACAATTTCTATTTTTCTTTTTGCATGGTCTCCATGTTCTGTCCCGTGTTGCTGCCGACTGGTCTACAGAATCGCTCACTCGTATGGATAAATCATCATATCATCTTATTTAACATTCTCGTTGAGTTTGGCAGGATGGGAATTTTCCGATTCAACTCATTTTCATCTGATTGCTATTTTTAGGCCTCGGTACAAAGGAATCGGAGATTTATGATTTATGTCCATTCCAAGGGGATGATAGTAGATGATGAGTACGTGATCATCGGGTCTGCGAACATTAATCAGAGATCTCTGGCCGGTTCAAGGGACACGGAGATAGCCATGGGCGCTTACCAACCCCATCACACATGGTCTGGGAAGAATAGACATCCACGTGGCACGGTCAGTGACTTTCCACGAGCACTGGTTTCCTTTCTTCTCAACCATACTCCAACATTTCTTCACAGATATAGAATCAATCTATGGTGAAATAAAGAGCTCGCTTCATTACTACATGTCCCTAACCCTCGTCCAGTTACTTCATCCTCTATACTTTCTAAGAATAGCATCAATTCTGCGAATGGAAGCCAAGACCTAGCTGTTCAACCTGACGGAAACTAGCTACCATCATCTTCTTTCCTTCTCTACAGTCATTAGCTTTGAATTCCCCAAGCGAATATTCCTCTCTCTCTCTCTCTCTCTCTCTAGATATACATATAGATACTCAAAAGTACTGATGCATACATTCATTCATATATATATATATATATATATATATAATGTGATTATTTATTGTGTGAGAAAACTGCCCTTGCAGGTTTATGGATACAGGATGTCTCTGTGGGCTGAACATCTGGGCCTAGTAAATCCCATCCTGGAGGAGCCCCACACTGTAGAGTGCGTCAGAAGTGTGAACTCCATAGCTGACGGCAACTGGAAAAGATTTACCTCCGAGAAGATGACCTCTCTGCAGGGGCATCTTCTCAAGTACCCGATCAGCGTCGGCGCTGATGGGAAGGTGGGGTGTTTGCCAGGTCAGGAGGAGTTCCCTGACGTCGGCGGCAAGATCTTAGGTTCGGATACTCCTCTTCCTGATGCATTAACAATGTAATATCTCCAATTAGGGTATGGGTGAGTAAATAGAGAAAGATTGAGGACCTGAAACTCCTCTTTCTAATGCATTTATCATTCTAATAATCCCTCCAATTCTATTTATGTGCAAGAAAACATTATTATTTCTTCTTCCTCATGCATTTATACAGCACTAATCCCTCCCATTGTACCTGTTTGTGGGTTAAATAAAGAGGGTAGGGTGTTCTATATGAATGTGGTGTCTGTGATATCGATTCAAGGCTGGTTTCCTTCTGTTCTCATCCTGGTTTGCACGCCCTTATCGCTGCCAAGAAAAAGAAAAAAAATCAGACTGGGGATTCCGTCTGCTCACCTCAATGTAAGGATCCTCTTACCTGCTCCTTTGTCAGCTCCTTTATCTGGAAGTTCATATCTATGCTGGGTAAATAATCTTGGGTTGCTCATTGACTATCTCATGGTAACTCTGCTGCTTTCATGCTTGCTCCATGATTATTTCTTGGTCAACTTCCTTCATTTGGCAGTTCCCATCCATGCGAGCGCGGCCGTTGATAGTTAGTTGATTATTTGTTGGTCAGGTTTCTTCATTTGGCAATTCCCATCCACAATAGCTCTCTCTAGCTCGCTCTGCCTCTCCAAGAATGGTATACCTGCTGGCCATCGGAGATCTGGATCAATAAATACTTCAATTATCATCCATCTCCAGGATCCTCCCCAACCCCTCCAACACACCATAAATCTCCTCCGTCCTCGGATGCGACTCATCTTCTACTCCAAACAAGTGAACCACCCCGCCCTCCACCTCCACCCAGCTACACCCCGCCGTCTTCCTCACCCCTCTAACCCTCATCATCAACCGCACCCTCGCTGCATCCTCCCCCCTCCCCGCCCCCTCGTACGTCCTCGCCATGGCCGCGTACCTCCCCGCGTTCCCCGGCTCGAGCTCAAACAGCCTCCCCGCGGCCTCCTCCGCAATCGCCACCTCCCCGTGCTTCCTGCAGGCCCCCAGCAGAGCCCCCCACACGTCTCTCCCGCCGCCGCCGGGGGCGGCGGCGGCGAGCTCCGCCGCCTCGCGTAGGAGCCCCGCCCTGCCCAGCAGGTCCACCATGCAGCTGTAGTGGAGCTCCCCCTTCTCCACTCCGTGCTCCTCCATCAGCTCGAAGATCGACCTTCCTTCCTCCACCATGCCGGCGTGCCCGCATGCCGAAAGCACGCTCAGGAAGCACATGCCGTCGGCGCGGACGCCCGCGGAGAGCATCTCGGCGAACAGCGTCAGCGCATGCCGCGCGCGGCCGTGCGCGCCGTAGCCGCTGATCATGGCGTTCCAGGCGACGACGTTCTTCAGGGGAATTCTGTCGAACACATCGCGAGCGTGGGCGAGTCGGCCGCAGGCGGCATACATCGCCACCAGGCCGCTGCCCAGCGCGGCGTCCACCGGCGTGCCGGACTTGACGGCGTAGCAGTGGACCCACATCCCGTCTCGCGCCGCCGCCAGCTTAGCGCAGGCGGGGAGGAGGCCCACGAGGGTGACGTAGTCGGGGCTCTGCAGGGTGTCCTCACGCAGCATCCGGTGGAAGAGCGACAGCGCTTCTCTGTGGCGCTCGTTCTGGGAGTACCCCGCGATGAGGGAGTTCCAGCTGACGAGGTCCCTATCGGGCATTCCGTCGAACAGGTGCCGCGCGGCGTGGAGGTCTCCGCAGCGGGAGTAGAAGGAGACGAGGGCGTTGCCCACGAAGAGGTCCGTCTCTAGGCCGACCTTCCAAGCCTCGCCATGGACCGTCCTGCCGCTGCCGCCGTCGCCGGAGGCGGCGCAGGCCTTGAGCACGAAGGGGTAGGTGTAGCGGTTGGCGGTGGCGGGACCACCGCTGCGCCGCATGATGGCGTACACGGCCAGCGCCTCCTCCGGCGGGCCGACGGCAGCGTACCCACGAATGACGACGTTCCACAGGAGGGCGTCCCGCAGTTCGGCGCCGTCGAAGACGCGGCGTGCATCTCGCATGCCGGAGCCGCCACCGAGATCGGCGTACAGCGCCACCAGCTTGGCGGCGAGGAAAGGGTTGCCGCCGTGGCCGGCGGTGATGATCTGTTGGTGGGCTTGCTGGAGGGTCCTCAGGCTGGCGCATCGGGTTCGCAGCAGGGCGGCGTAGTCGCGGGAGTCCCAGCGGCGCCGCTGGTCTCCGGCCACCGCCCCGTAGAGGAACCTGAGTGCGGCGAGGTGTGGCCTTCCAGGGCGTGGGACTGCTCTCGGCGGGCGGAAGCCATGCATCTGCTGAGAGACTCAAGAGCCTCTTTACGTGAATGAAGTGATATTTATAGACGGAAATGAGTATCTATCGGGCTGCTTGGTTACTAAATACGCGGATATGGAGTACCCAACGGGCCCACTAGCAGCAGTTCTCAGAAATGTTCCAGACCGGGAAGACGATGGAGGGAGGAGGCTGCATACTATATATAGCATGTATCGGATCTTCAAGAACCAGGTCAAATGTAACATTTAAGATTTCAGGAGACCACGACTTCACCCGAGTCAACCCACGGAGGCATTTAAGATCCCCTCGGAGTTTCCTAAAAAGGGTAAGCTTTTATGGACATCAGGTGAACAAAAGGCGCGTCCTTTGGACCGAGACAGGCACCGGAGCGGACCTCTTTTTCCGTCCAAATCTAATTTCATAGTGAAAACCTAGGAAGACTACCAACTGATTTTGCTCACTTGGATCATTTCCAAGGGCCGTACATCAAAGCCCAAGAAGAAGCAGAAGAAAAACTTCCCATAGCGGTCCAACATCAGGTCGGATGGATTGCAGCTCGGCGCCATCCGCTGCATAGCAGAGCAAAAAGATTGAGGAACTGATGATGTCAAGGACGAGGAATAATGGCCAGCAGGAACGACAAGAACAGGTAACAGAGGAGAAGATTTTTCAACCTTCCAAGCAGATATTTCAACTGATTTGGCAGCTACAGCTACGCAATTCTGGGCTTTGTGATAAAAAGAAATTAACAGTGGACCAACGTCCCAAAAGATCATTGGAGCTGGAAGCCAAGGAAACCAATTCATGCAAGATATCTTTCAGAATGATGCAAATCACCAGGGGAATTCGTCAACCATCATTCGTTAACTAGCAAGAATCTTTCATAAATAAACAAGTGTCAGTGATTAATGACGCATTGTAATCTGGTTCTTCCCCTCCAATATTTCCCTACAGAGGGAAGGTTTGACATTTTCAAGTGATAAATTATTGGACAAGATGTTTCCACAAATAGATAAAACGATACTGGGAACAAGAGAAAAAATTCCATACCTGCAATCAGGAGCTTGCATTTTCTACGAGGCAAAGCATTGATGATGTGCCGTAGCAGAACAATGAGCAAAGCAGCACTCATGAACAACGAAATCAGAAAAAAAGAAAAGAAATACATATAAACAAATAGTTGGAGAGACAACACGCCGCCATCTTTAAATATTAATGAGATTTCATAATTAAGGAGTGTTATTTACAACCGGAAATCATAACAGCTGCGACCTGTCATCATAGGGCTACCAGTGGTGGCTCATATCTGTTCTACGAGAGATTATAATGGGAACATGGAATGTACAAGTCGCTATGAACAATCTTTCCACCGCCCTTTTTTCTTTTTTGTTGCTCAGAGAATTGGGAATATATTGTCATCGTTTCCACCTAGCTGATCCAGTTTGCCGTCACCTTTGGGAAGGAAATCTGGATTCACATAGCACTTCATTCCTTCGAACAAATTGAGATTATCCACCAGCTTGTGGAACACATTGCAGCCGCAACACTACAGCGCAAAATCAGAGAGAAAGCTATTTTAACCAAAGCGTAACGCAATAGAAGATAGATTGTGAGAAGAGATCGTCAAACAATGAGCAGAGAAGGTACCTGAACAAAGACAGTTCCGTCGGTGTAGGCGTGGGGGTTGATGGCCCTGGTTGTGCGCTGTCCACAAACGTTGCAACTAAATGCGATAAGCATCCTTCGACGCGGAGATTTGGTGAACAGAGACCACGGGAAGGTCGAGACCGCTCGATTTTTCAGCCCGTCGTCAGCATCGGCAGCAGGGACGGGGGGCCCCTCCATCCCGGAACCCGTGGTCCAACCTCTGCCTGTTGCTGCGCTCAGAACCATACCCAGAGCAGCATCCTGCCAGAGAGGAGATCGGGAAGAAAGCCAGCGACACGATCAACGAAATTACATGAGGCAAAGCAATAGAGAAGTGGGTCCGGCATTCACCCTAGAAAGAGGGACGATCGGGCCGTGGTTTCCCATAAACGGAACCAGATTTGTATTCCCAGCATCGCGTTGGAGATCAGCCTCGTCCTCTTTTCCTAGAGTAGAACAGAATCTCTAAGATCTCAGAAATCAGAGACGAAGAGAAGCGAGGCCGGGAATCGGAGCAGACGGACACATACCCTTTGATGCGACGATCAGATGCCGTCGGGCTCTACCCATCCCGCATCTCCTCTTCGGGGGGAGGACAGAGAAGGGGGTGAGGGCGCCGGCGGCGCTCGCGGCGGCGCTACGGACGTCCATGGCGATGGCAACGACGGAAAGACAAGCAGCGGAGATCGTCGGCGTCACCGATTCCCAAGCTGCGCCGCCGCCACCCGAATTTATAGGGGATTTTCGGCCCATAATTCAACCCATTGAAATTCTTAAACTAAATCCCTTCGGGCCACCCTTCACGAAGTAGCCAAAAAAAAATCTGATGCTTTCTAATGCCTAAAATAATTCAACGGTCAAAATGGGGCCCACCTCAGCCGTGGGCGGTGCGATGGTCTCGCGCTCTGGCCCCACGGGTACAACCAAAGATGAGGGCCTTCTGGAATATTCGGGAGCACTGTCGGATCCAATAAACAAATAAATAAATAAATAAATTTTCTTTATTTTTATAGATAATTTGGAATATATAGCAAGCCAGGGAGAGCTTGGTTAAGTAAATAATTTCTTTTTTTTTATTGTTGCGTAAATTACTGGGGGATTTTAAAATACTTGGGCTAGACGAGGTGTGTGCATGTGGCAGAGATGCTGAAGCCGTTGACTTTGTCGCTGCCACTTACGTACCCATGCTGGGGAACAGCAGCCAATTCCCCATGGCAAGCTCTGGCAAGTGGTGTGCCATGAGGATGGTTCCATGGGGTCTCAAGCTGAGCTTAAAATTGTGGACGTGGAGGAATTCCTCCCTTGACCGGCGGCAAGCGGCGCCACCTTTGATGCGGCATGGCCGTACAAGGTGTAGTGCACAGAGCTGTATATGCTGCCATTGATCTAATACTCCCTAGTCTATGTTGGGAGTGAGAGTGAAAGTTTCTGTCGCAAAGAACCTGGCCAGCTCAACTGTCACCGCCATGTCTGGCTTTTCTAATCAGTAGTCGCAGAGGGTGGACTTGATGACAATAACTGCTCACCGAGGAGTGAATCCCCTGATCTAATGTCAAGAATACGCAAGAAACCAAGGTTCTCAGCCTCGTCAAAGGTGGTGATGACCTCTTGATATCCCAACCACTGTCTCACAATGGTTTCGAGGTGGAACGACACCCTGATGACGGCAAGTCCAAGCACTTTGGCTGTTTAAAGTAGTGGGGTTACCTCCTCAAGCTGGGCACCATACTTGGACCCAATGGGTAGATGACTTTTCCCTTGTCGAGAGCCTTGATCCTCAATAAGAGCCATCAATTAAGATGACATCTATGATGGAAAAAAATATATTATAGAGAGAAATAGAAGACAGGGTAAGCAAGCAAAGAGAAGGGCATATATGATGTAAAAGTTAACACTCATAATGTTCTCACTAAGCTCAACCAAATACAAAAGATAAAAATTAGAGTTAATGAGTGAAGTGAGCTTCTCCACTTTAGTGCATCATAGTTTGTGAATGAAATCTAATTCTTTGTCTTACACTAATCCCTCATGGCCTTACGTCAGAGGGATACCTCTCCACTACCTTCTGTTTACCTATTATGTGTGGAGAGGTAGTGGAACATGCTTTGTATCACTTACTAACACTTCACCTTGATACAAAGCTTCCAACACCAACAGATTATTTAAATTTAATACAGTGGTCATTTGGTTATTTTTTTTTTATCTCAATTAGATTTTCAAGAACTATATCTTGAATAAAGTGGTGAGTAATCTCTACATGCTTCATTCTTCCGTAAAATATTGAGTTCTTTGTAATAGATATAGTTGACTTATTGTTGTAGTTGATCTCTATTGTATTTATTTGAATTATGTTTGTCTTATAATATTATTCACATCTATACAAATTGTTGTGAGGCTAATGATTCACCAATTTACAATTAGTCTCTTTTTTTTTGAAGTCCACAACACAACACCATATTCATAATTTAAAATAAACTCATTAGTATTCTACAATTCAACTATTGATGTTACCCAACCACTATCAACAAAATTAGATAGCTTAAATTGAAGAACTTAGTGATAAAATTCTATAATACTTATCCGTTGAATGTAGCAAAGAATCTATTTTTCTGCTCCAAGATGATGAACAAGTTTTGTAATTCAAGATAGTAAACTTATTAAGTAAATCGAATACAAAATTTTTCATGCTATAACTATCTTGAATAATATCAGCCTAAGACAATTCTGAAGTAAAAGCAAACCTATCCCATTAAATTTAACAATTTTCCAAATATTAAACTCATTTACAGGTGAATGAGATGATCTGATGTATATAATGTCACCACACCCATAATAAAAATGCCATTTTCTTTATGTGGACGGAATTAGTTTGATTTCTCTTCTATAAATGTTATTTTTATGAAGATAAGAGCTAATTCATACTATACCATGCTTTCAATGTTTATTTGAATCCATAAATGGTATTTTTTAATTTTAGAATTCATTCTCTTTGTCATTAATTAATCACAAATTCTTGTGATTATTCAATATATAGATCTTCATCTAGATAATTATTTAGAAATATAAATTTAACATCAAATTAAAATATTTATATCTCATTGGTGATGTTAGAATAAAAATAATTCTAAAAATTTCAAATCTAGCAACATGAGAAGAAATTTCAAAGTAATTAATTTCATATTATTGTACAACAAGCCTTGTTATGTATTTCTGCACACTTTTATTCGGGTTGCATTTCACTTTGTAAATTAATTTACACAAGTTGCTTTTTTATTCTGTGGTAGATCAAGAAGTTCTCATGTATCATGTTTATGATTGAACCTATTTCCTCTAGAGATTTGTTTCATTATTTTTTGCCTTGAATCTCTTCAAAACCTATTAGTTCTACAATTATAAGTACAATAATTTTGGTCCTTTAATCGAAGCATTTTATTAGATTTTTAGTTCTTATTGGGAATTCTTATTTATTTTCCGTGTTGGAAGAGAATAGTCATGATATCTAGATACGCAAAACGTGGGCACTATAGAAGGATTTTTTATCCCTCATTTCAAGGTGAATAAATAAGAGAATAGTTTTATGCATGCATGAATCATTAGCTCTTAAAGAGTCAAAGTGAGAAGGTCTAATTGAAGAGATCAAACCACAATGTTTTTTCACCATCTTTGAGATTATTTCCATATTGGCCTAATCTATGCCCAGCGTAACATGTATGGCTATATTCACACCTATGTTAATGATACCTTACTCACCCATAGGCTGACTCACATAATATACAATTGCTCTTGCCCAAACCATGCCCACATACACTCACATCAGTGCATATATGCCTATATTGGGCAGCAAGACCTACTTACACTTGCATTGACCTGCCACCATATGTTACTTCACATTTGTGTGCCAATGGCATTGTGTGGCATGGGCATACCTACGTCTATAACCCCCACCCACGCTCAAACATGTTTTCTTCTTGCATTGGCACTCATACATGCACCCAAAAAAAGACACTTATTTTCACCCATCCAAGTTGGCTTTGGTGCTAGTATGTGTTGTACGCTTGCAACTATTTAAACGATTTATGAACAGCATGTCACCCTATCCCTTAGGTTAGGTATTTGATCTTGTTCATTCTTAGATTAATTTGCTTGACATGCACTATGAAATGTTTAATTATATCAGCAGATAAATTAAAATATCTAGAAATGTTAAGGTGAACATAATTTAATGTGTCTTTAAATATTTTTATATTTAAATGAACTGTGAGATAAATTTCTAATTTATGATAAACTGATTTATAAACTAATTTAAATGTCTGAACAATCATTTATGATAAAATGATGAATGCAGTGTTTTCTAAGTGTTGGAACATTCCATCAACCTCAACATATACATCATCCATCTCTGATTTCCTTATCTGAATTCGCTTAAGACATCATAATTTTTTTTTACTAGCTCTAAGATCAAGTAGAGACTACTTAGAACAAGCTGGACTTGATCATCCCATAAGAGCACTTCCATGGGCAAGCAAATTTCCTAACTTCAACGCCTCACTGGATGCTAGTGTAGTAGGGGAAATCCATATAGCTTGTTATACATTACACTATATCATACGATGTATTATGATAGAGTAAGAGACTGAATTTCTATTACGCATCTGATGCCATCGGCCGTGTCCCCGGTCAGAAACCCGCTGAAGGCCATGAAGAGGGAGGGGCCGACCACCAGAGGGGAAACTCGGCTGACCCGACCTGGTGGCCGTGCTTGAGGGTGCTGCTTGGATGCTTACTAGTAAGGCTCGGTGGCGAACCCCCTCACACGTGCGCTGGCGTTGACCTTGGACAAATCTTCATGAACATAGGTCGAAAGCCCCATCCCACAGTCTCTCTCCCTCTGTAGGCTCGTTACAGACGAGAGGGAGAAAGAGACCGTTATTTACACTTCGAGGGCCGGGAGAGAGAGAGAGAGAGAGAGAGAGAGGAGAGAGAGAGAATTAATCATTAATGGTGAAGCGGTGCCTTTCTTCGGTGGAAAGTCAAAGATGGAGAACACGTAACTGATTATTCTGCCCACGCAGTATTCACAATCCGGAAGGAAAATACAAGGCTATAGTGTGGTCCGATGTTATTAAATGGACTCGTCACGCGTCAATTTGGTCCGCTGTCTCAAAGCAACGTAGAACGGGAACCAACATTAGTTATGAGTTATTAAGACTGTCTGCCATTCGAACGGGGATCGAGGAGTAATCAGTGGGATTATCCTCCCATATAAGATGGCAGAGAACGGGGGGCCTCCCCACCAACGACCACCCCAACCTCAGCGCCCATCGAGCTGTGCGCGAGACATCCTCGAAGGTACGTCTTCTAGCTCGTTCAAGTTGATTGGTGATTGCCTTCGTCTCCTGATCTGGGAACAGAGACATCGAGCACGCGTCGCTGTTTTCCGGAATGGGCCCGAGGAGCCCTTCCTTGGTCAGTGGCCACATAGACTACCACCGGCGGCTTGAGAACATCCTGGCGGAGCTCCACAAGAAGGCGAATGGCAGGGGGGACGGGTGGTGGAGTGGCGGAAGGCGTTTCCGGCTGTGGAACACCGGCGGGGACGCGACAGCAGCAGTACGGTGATTACGAACGGTGGTGGCAGAGCTGATGACGGTGATTAAAAATAGAAACAAATGCAAAAAGAAGAAAATTACGGCTTACTGGGCCTGGGCGGATGTGCTGATGATGATGCAGAGGGTGGGCCATTTCTTCGATACCCACCAAGTTGCCCCGCGGGCCCATTCCGAAAAACAGCGACGCCTGCTCTATGTCTCTGTTCCCAGATCAGTCGACGAAGGCAATCACCAATCAACATGAACGGAGCTAGAAGACGTACCTTCGAGGACGCCTAGCGCATGGCTCGATGGGCGCTGAAGTTGAGGTGGTCATTGGCGGAGAGGATGAGCATCTGGCGCCGAGCTGGTTCGCTGTCCGTTGCAGGGGCATTGGGAAACTCCACAGCAACCTCCACCATGGTCCGATCCCAAGGCCTGGGCCGTCGAGCGTCGCGACGTCCGCGAGAGGTTCTTCCTGTGCGCTGTGCAAAGGAAGATAATTTGGGAAAGTGAAGTCAGCCGCCCTAACCTTGGAAAGCTCCCCCGCCGCCCATCCCTCCCAGATCGTGTCAGCCGATACCTCTTCCATAATCACCGCCTAGCTACACGGGGACCATAGGTAGCTCTGATGAGGGAAGCTCTTATATGGGCGGAGAATACCTCCGATTCCTGATGGATCCCCGTTCGGATGGCGGACAGTGTCAATAACTCATAATTAATGTAGGATGTCCATCCGTTGACTACCAAAGGTGCCATTCCGTAAGATAATTTGACATGTGTGTCTACCACGATGACATAACGTGACATCTATGACATCAATACTGGTTTAAAAATATTCTTCAAAATACATTTTTAAAATTAATTTAAACGTCTTCCAAAAATAATGTGACGTGCCTATGTCAACTACATCGCTTTATATTTATTTAATATATATATATTTAAATAAAAATTTTACCAAATAAAATCTGAAAACTTTTATTTCAGATAGGTTATGATCAATTTTATATGGATTGGTGCATTTTTGTTTTCAGTCTTAATTTTAAGACCATATTTGAGAAGACAATATTTTCACAACTTTCACTATGGATCATAGTATTTTGTAATTTGTTATTAATAGTACCTCTTAAAAGACATTATAATGTAAGAGACATTCTTCTTTTAATTTGTACATAAGCCTTAAGACAACTGGTCAATGATAATGTATGCTTCATTAGTCTCTTCTTATTCAATAGCTTGTGTAATTCACTACACCAGATTTTAGATAGATATTTGATTTGTAACTTTCCTCACCATTTTGTTATTATTTTGTGGATCATTTGGGAGAGAAGGATTTTTAATGATCCATCTTGATTAAAATTTGATGTCCTACCAGATATCGGTAAGTGAATTGTTGGTTGTCGCCAAATGACTAGTGCATAGTTAGTAACAAGTAATACCATTTAAGAAAAATAAAAATTTTAAGATCTAAGTTTCAATTTCTCAACCAAAATTTTTACACATTATAATGCCATAATTCTTGGAATTATAAAGCTAGACACCAAGGTGATGGGTGAATTGGAGTTTATTGGATTTTTACCTTTTTATTTATTTATACCAAACTTATTTGTAATATTGATAGATGTGTCAACATATACATTGTGGTAACACAACTCAATAGTTTTTCATGAAAAACATCATACGTTTTATGCTAGTTTGCCTCTAACTCAACTACTTTCAATACTAAATAGAATTTTCCTTTAGTATTCACTTATTCCCCTCAAGAAAACAGGCTAATATTCATAGGATCAGCTACCAAAATCATAGAAGTATGTCTCTCCTCAAAGACCTAGCCTCTCGAGCCAAATATTATTAGCATTTGATGACTTTGCTCAATATACTCTTTCTCATCACCTAATTATCTTAAAACTTGATGGAGATCAAAAGTCATAATGGTTTTGTTGATCAATTGTCAGAATGAGCTGATGAAGAGGATGCAAAGTTCTCATTTATTGTTAATGTGTGCAGCATGAAGATCTTGATGATGATCGTTAAATCTGTGTATTCAATCAATTTTTACATGTAAGACATTCTAAACTTCAAATGTCTATTCTTGCAACCATTTACATTCAAATTTGAACTGAAATATCCTAATTAGGTGGAGAATAGTTGGGTTTTACATTTGATCAAATTCATCAAGTTTGTCTTTACCTTTTTTCCATGTAAGCCATTGATGTGTCACTATTAAGATAATCCCTTCAAATTTTAATATTTGATTATTTTCTCTTTCTTGCTTACTTAATGTACTAGATATTTTAGGAAATCTATCTAATATCATTTTAAAATGATAAACCAGCCTATGAAGCTTTTTTCAGAAGGCCTCTGATTGATTTAGAATTGATAGATAGGGCGCTACAGTGCCTCAAGTGAATGAAAATAAGCAAGGTAACGAAGTCACACTAGAAAATTAAATTAGATCATCATATAATTAAGGATGAAATATTTTGCATTACTTGTGTCGATTTATACCATACAAGCATATATTTAACCTTTCATTTTAAGATGTTTTTTCAGTTGATAATCCTTTATCCTCAAGTAATCCTAAGATAAAGAATCAACAACTTAGATTTAGTTGTTAGTACTAAGATCGTAATCATTTAATTAATAAGATCAATATAACAAACTCATTACATGTATTAAATATTTCAAGTATATAATTCACATACATAAATAAGTATAAATGTTGTATAATCATTTATAAATAAATTCTCATATGTAATTATTAAAACCAAGAGCATCAATAATAATAACATAGTATAATTTATAAAGGGGCTGTAAGGTTATCTTTTTTTGCAATATATCATATAAGACCCCTTTTGAATCTTGAAGTCATATAAGATTTGAATCTTGATAAATTAATTTGGAAAGATAGCTAATCATTTTTTATATATATACTTTTCAATAGATCTAATACCTTATCTGCATTTTTGATATTGCTGGTACAACATTTTCTAACAGTTGGGTATAAGAAAATGTGATTTAAGGGATTCTTCATTTTGAACCATGTATAATTAATTCTTTACCATGTTGATATTCAACCTTTCTATTATTAAGCAACAAACTTTACATGCTTCTCTTCTTGAATCTTTATATATTTAGAAACTCATTCAACTATAGCAAAGCAATCAAAAAATTCTTCAACGCACAAATGATCATGGAAACTTAGAAAATATATTTTTATTACTTTTTTAATAATTTTTGTCTTAAAATCTACTTCTCATATTTCCATGAAAAATTAATAAATAATTATACAACACTATTACATTTCTTAAACTGTGACAATGTTATAGGGAGAATATTGCAATAGTTTGAGTATTTTGGAAAAAAATATGTAAGGCTTTCTCTGTATTTAAGAGATGATAAATGCCAATAAAGAGTGAGGCAAGTTATACTATTCTTCCCCTCTATCCTATGAGATAGAAGAATTTTTTTTCCCCCTCTCCTTGTTTCAATAAATACTCATTTCAATAGAATTTTTCTGTATAGAACATCTCAAATTAATTTTTTTCTAACTAATTTTTTATAAAAATTATAGTGTGGTGAGTTTTAAATGGATACGAAATTAGTTGGGGAGCCCCTAAAAATTGGACTGATTTAGTAAATAAATTAAAAACGCCATAAAATAGGACTATTACAAAAAACTAAGACTCTTATGTATTATTTATGGATCAATTTGTGCCTAATCTGATTTTGGGGGTTTTGGGTCCTCTCATCTTCATAGTCTACACTTCATATTTCTAAAGCACTTAGCACACAACCTATAAGCTTTTCTTGGTTTTATGCGTACTATTCTACATCACAAAATACGAAGTCATCACAAATCCTCAGAAAATTGTATGTGAAGCCAATGGAAAATTCTAGTGATCAAATGCATAAGATAAATGAGGATAATTTGATATTAAATTTTTATTGATTAAGTAAGATTAGTTTCTTATTAAATCCAAACATGACTTCATTAGGAAAGAAAGCATGATCTAAATTATGATAGAGAACTATATTTAACACTGCTGTTTGAAAAAATTATGTTAGATGACAAAAAGATAAACATTTCTAGTTAACTAGAATGCGTGTTGGATGTTCATGAGTTACTAAAAGTTATGAAATGCCATTAAAATATATATTGATTAAAAGGCATGAAATAAAATGATGATAGCAAGGTACGTTATACAAATTGAAAAGTACACAACCGTCGAAGCCTTTATTTATAACAGGCAAAAGCTAGATGATGACTATGACATTTTGTTGAAATATAGTATGATAGCTATTCAAAGATAGAGAATTACCAAATTATAGATAGTTTGCCTTTTGAGTCAACGCCAGAACAAAATTGTATGTAAATCATGCTATTAAAAGATATACAACAGGCTATTAAAACCTGTATTAATAGCTGGCGTTAGATAGATGACGATGACAGATTATATAAAATTAAATATGGCATCGCTGGTGTACGAGTTTAAGTTTCCACGCCAAGAAAGACACCCTATTTTGTCAATACAAAATGCATGTTAGATTGATTGCAGTTTATTGACAAATTAAATGCGAAGACATTAGAAACTCCACTTGATCAACGGCATAAGCTACATGATGCTTGCACAGCATCTTATCAAAATGGTTATGACACTGTACTTGAGTAAATTATCTTACTCAGAGGACGAAATACATCGTTGTTAGCCAACGGATGGACATCCTACGTTAATTATGAGTTATTGAGACCGTCCGCCATCCGAAAGGGAATCCAGCAGGAATCGGCGGTATTCTCCTTCTGTATAAGATGTCAGAACGGGGAGGCCTTCCCTGATCAGAGCTACCAGTGGTCGCCGCCGTCTAGGTAGACGGTGATTATGGAAGAGGTATCGGCTGACACGATCTGGGAGGGATGGGCGGCGAGGGCGCTTGCCAAGGTCGGGGCGGCTGACTTTCTGAGTAACTTGCCCCAATTATGTCTCCCTTTGCCCAGGGCACAGGAAGAACCTCTCGCGGACGTCGCGACATTCGACGGCCCAGGCCCTTGGGACCGGACCATGGTGGAGGTGGATGTGGAGGTCCCGAAGGCCTCCGCGACGGACGGCGAACCAGCTCGGCGCCAGATGCTGATCTTCTCCACCAACGACTACCTCAACCTCAGCGCCCATCCAGCTGTTCGCGGGGCGTCGTCGAAGGTACGCCTTGTAGCTTGTTCATATTGATTGGTGATTGCCCTCGTCGACTGATCTGGGAACAGAGACATCGAGCAGGCGTCGCTGTTATTCGGGATGGGGCCGAGGGGCCCTGCCTTGATCAGTGGCCACACAGAGTACCACCGGCGGCTTGAGAACGCTCTGGCGGAGCTGCACAAGAAGGAGGATTGTTGTGTGACGGCCACGGGATTCTCCGCAAACACAGCCTTCCTGGCGGCGCTTGGAGGCGTCGCCACCCATAACGCGGCGTCGAGAAGGCCAGCGGTGCAGGAGAAAATCGCCGTGTTCTCCGATTCCCTGAACCATCCAGCCACCGTCGAAGGCCTCCGGATGTCGGAGCACATGGGCCAAACCCTCGTGTACTCGTACGGGCACAGGAATATGGAGAATCTTGACGAGCTCCTCTCCAAGTGCCCAGTCGAGAAGAAGGTCGTCATCACGGACAGGTAGGATTAGCTATTCAAGTCGCTCAACTTTAATATTCCTGTTGACAACGCTGGCCACGAAATCTTGTCATTCGTGGATGGATTCTCAGGATAAGAACCAGTCGTTGATGGCAGACGAAGACAAAAGGAAAATGTCGTTCACTACAACAAGATTCATCTCCCCTAGAGAAGACAGTTTTCTGACCCTGCAAGTCCTCCGAGCTCAATGCCCTATTCCTTGTGTGTTACAGTGTATTCAGCATGGAGGGCGACATAGCACCTATGCACGACCTCGTGCAACTCCGGAAGAAGCACGGTTTCCTATTCGTCGTCGATGAAGTAAATCAATTTAATTTCACAAGTGTGCCGCATTCCTTCTGTCGGCACGTAGCCTTTTTCCGTCTACCGTCTGGACTCTTGGATCTCTAATTAGCTTCGCCCGTTTGCAGGCGCACTCGACGTTACTCTGGGGGAGGAATGGCGGCGGCATCGGTGAGCATTTCGGCATCGAAGATCAGATTGACGTTATCGTCGGGGCGATGAGTAAGTCGATCGGATGCGTGGGCGGGTTCGTAACCGGCAGCAAGAAATGGTGCGACCTGGTCAGACTTCTGGGTCGTCCCAGCGTGTTCAGCACGACTTCCCCGGTACCCGTCATCGCCGCCGCTTATGGTACAGACTCTACCCCATCATTCACGTCTTCGGCCCCTTGTGCATTTCACAACAAATTCGCCGTGGGCACTCAGCTGCCGTGACGGTGGCCAAGAAGGAGGTTTGGCGCAGGCAAGAAGTGTGGAACCGAGTGCGAGAATTCACTGAGTTGACCAAGTACCCCGCAGCCAGCCCCATCATTTGCCTTGTGGTCGGCTCCGAGGAAGCGACTATTCGTGCCAGCAAGCACATGCTGGAACGAGGCTTCCATATCACCACCATTACACCTCCGGTAGTAGCATCCGACGCTTGCCGGTGAGCTCTCCTCTACTTTCGTCTCCTCCCCTCTTCTCTCCGGTCGTTCCCAAGACCATCCTGTCTTCTTCCGGCGGCGTGGCTGCTGACGAATCGTTCCATTCTCCAGGTTGAGGATCACACTCACAGCTGCCCATACTTTGGGGGACCTGAGAAGGCTTGTGGCCGCACTGTCAGAATGTGTTCCTGGGCTCGACTGCGCAGGTGATCCCATCACTTAAAGCTGTGATATCCATCAAGGGATCTGCAAGTGCAGCGCGTTCAGCGTTCGAATGAGACGCTGGAGCAAATTAACGCGTGAGGAATCCGTTTGATATCGGTGTAGACGAAAGTTTAAGTTTACTGTAGCCCTGTGTTTGCCTTTCGATTTGTGAATGCTGCTCGGGCAGAATAATCAGTTATGCGTTCTCCATCTTGGAAATCTTCTGTTGTATCTCATCGTTCACTTCCCTACGAAGAAAGGCATCGCCCTACCATTAATGATTAATTCTCTCTCTCTCTCTCTCTCTCTCTCTTCATATATCCATCTACTTTAGCAGCGTCTACCCAAAAAGTCATTGATCATTTGAGGGCCGTTCTTCTGTTGACTATGCGATGTTCGTGAAGCCGGGAAGGAAAAGAAGGCCTCGAATCTTCTAAGGATTCTAAGGAGTCGGGATAAAAATTCAAAAAATTGTTACCAATTTTTCTTTTACAAAGCGGGCTCTTCAGGTTGGAGAAAGACAACTTAAATGCTTAAGAACCAGGATATGTTGAGGAAGTCTGTGAAAGATGACAGTTCTTAAATAAAAAAAAATTGTAACTTATCCCAAGAAAAGAAAATACATTTTTGGCCAGAATTTTCTGTAGACTATGCCTTGGCATTCTACGCAAAGAATAATTAGAATTTCCATGCTTTATCCTTAGAGTCACCTCAGCTATCCCTTGTCGTTCCATACTTGCTATTCTCTTTTGCCCTACACTGGAGCAATAATTTTTATGAAAAATAAGAAAACTCATGGCGAGCAGTGTTCCTGCATGATCTTTCCAACAATCAAGAAATAATGGGTCAAAGAAGGGCTCCACCATAACAGAGTCCACCAAACTCCCGACCTCTTCTTGAAGGGGTGGCGATGATCAATGATGTCTTTTGCTCATCTAAACTAAGCCCATGAAGCTCCGACCTAATCAGCACAATGACACAAATAAAGTTGTGTTAAATGAAAGATTTGAATTTGAATCCACAAGTCACAAATGTGAAACTTTAGGGGGTTTAAGAATCAGGCGTGGAACCCACAAAACATAACTCTCAATCATTGAATCCACAAGTATTGACTGGGCAGACCATGCGTCTACAATGGTAAAAAATACTCATTTGGTCTATAAGAAAGAGCCTAAAAATCCACAAGTCAAGAGAGACATCAAAGGGAGGAACGCATAGCAACCCAGAATTTTGTAGGGTTAGAGTATAATGGCTTTTAAATAGGCCAAAAATTAGTTAAAGCTCCCTTAAAAATAAAATCAATTTAGGAAATGAAATAAAAATAATTTAATTAAAAATTTCTTTCAAACCATGATTTTTCCATATTGTGCACATGGCCTATTTGCAAATAATTTGGTCTTACAGACTTTTTAGATCTTTCATTTTTGTACCCACACCCTTTCACATTCTAGAAAGACTAAGACATTAATTATGAAATTTTCTTTATTTTATGCTTATTGTTCTATGTCAATCTCCCCTGCTTGATAAGAACTTGCATTTGATTCTACATGTGAGTCTAAGGAATACTTATAAGGATACATTACATTAAAAGTGGAAGAGATACCTATGTTATCGGATAAATTAATAATGTAGTTATGTATAAAATTTTGAATGGCCCATGTTTCTTTGACATCAACTTGTTATTGTATTAGTTGGGAGTCTTTCCTTCCTTAAGTATATCATGACCACATCACCAACTTCAAAAAAAAGAAAAAACTAGTTTTATTACTTGATTCTTTATTCTTATTATAATTAGTGGAAAGATATTTCTTCACACTTTCATGAACTACTATAATATAATATGTCATATAATATAATAGTTAATCTTGTATGTTTTGATAAATATATCATATCAAAAGGAAGCTTTGGAAGAAAATAATAAATAATAGAAAATAGAGAATTATTGCAGTGATTGACCATATAATTATAAACAAACTCTACTTGAGTCAAAGCAAACTCTCACTATTTTTTTTGTCTCTTCAAATATAGCAAACCAAATTGTGAAGCAAACTCTCATTATTTTTGTTTATCTCCTGAAATATAGTAAACCGAATTGGGAAGTGTCATATCTACTTGATTGACCATGAGTACGAAATTTTAAATGTGTATCAAATCTCTTCCAAAGAATTCATTAAATGTGGTCAAAACTATCCATGTCAAAGCTATGTCTTAATCCTATTGGATGTAGCTCACAGATCAATTTTTCATACACTGTTTTTCTTTAAATGTACAAAAAATTCTCATAGAATTACAACTTTTCATGTGTGTGAAATATCTTCAAAGCATCTAAAACTTGGACAAATCATCATCAACTTCATATAAATATTATAAAATAAGAATAATTTATTTCAACTTTAAAATTGATCATGTTAACTTTTCATTTGTGTATTTTCAACTAGATTCAATCTTTCTACTTTATGCTTGATGAGAAAAATACACTACTAAATGAATGGTATCCATCTTAAATGCATATTATCCACATTTGTTTGACTGTTAATAGACTTTAATGTATGATTACCAATAAATAATAAATTATTATTGAATATAATAGTGATCCCATATATGCAAAACTCTGTAAACAACACAAAGTTATATAATTTAGAAGTTTTTTTAAAGTCATATAGTAAAAATAAATGGACATAACATTTTACTTCAAATAACTTCAAATAGTTGATGCATAAAATTTTACTTCAAATAACTTGCCAAATTTTGGCATACTAATATGATACTAGAACATAACTTCTCCATACTCAGATTAAAACTTTCATTTTCTCTTTGCAGTAATATTTTTTTCATACATTTAATAATATGTAATAATAGAATTAATTTTTCTGATAACTTTACATGAAAAAGATGCTAATTCATGGATGTTCTTCATCAACCTTTAGGTAATCTTCACTAGTTATATATCATAATAAAATAAATTGATTTTCATGGAGCTATATTTATTTGAAATTATTAATAACTTATTTTTCTGCAAAATTATCAACATCGATTTCAAGTAAAAGGCACTCTTGTTTGTACTTCTTGAAGTAGTATAGCGTCAAAATAATACAAAATAAATTTATTAATCTAAAACTATAATACTTTATATGTCAACAAACATGTTATGATCATTTGAAAAATTAAATGGCCTCACCATTCATTCATAAGGTGTCTTTGTTTCAAAACTAATTTTCTATTTATCACTTGTATGAAGTCATATTTGATGATACCTATCCTTCGAATCAATCTTCAAGAAAACCTTTGAATCACATAGCATGTAAAATATATCATCTAATCATTTAGTAAGATTTTTTTACTTCTAATCTTATTTATATCATAACTATCTAGACACATGTCAGTGAACATCTTTTCTTAGACTTATAATACATAATACTCTCTCTTATTAGTCTTCTAATATTAATTATTATACTGCTTATTACAAAACTCTATTTTATTTAAGGCACAGTGTAATGTGGTGAATTTGTTGTTTACGCTTTAAATGAAGTCAATATGATATTGTATATGACTCATTAGTGGAATATGATTAAATAACTCTTGGATAATGGTAAAGAAATAACACCAAATTAACATCAATGCACTTGCAAAGTGGTGAAGCTAATTAGAGATCCTTGGCTGGAGGTTAGTAGGAGGACTATGTGATGACAAAAGAAATTGTAAGTGATGCTTCTTATGGAGTTCTATGGGGTGACACATATGTGCCATGTCCCTCTCCATGATGAATATGTTGTGACACAGAATACATCATATCCAATTTCATAGAGTACTTTAAAATTATCATTTTTTAGAATATTACCTTCTATTGATAGGTTTTATAGTAGCTCCATAGTTTTTTAGCACCTTCCATTAAACGCAATTTGTACTAGCATTAAGCATTATATTTTAATTTTCTCTATTATTAACACAATTTAGTTAAAAAAAATCATAAAAAGCAATAAAATCATTACCTAGAATCTAACTGGCTTTGACCAAATGAAGTTAATAATGACTTGGGGCACTTGTTAATACTTGATTTTTTGTTCTTAATTTGTTTTATTTATTTAATTTTTAGAAACAAATATAGCTGTATATAGTTAATTTTGAAGGTTAGAAGTTAAAGGAGTTAATGTATTTCTTCTTTTTTTAAAATAAAAATGATATATAATTAATATAATATTAATATTTATTATAACGGGCTACATACAACCATCCTTGTGGGCCATGGCTTGTGCCTGAATTGGAGACTTTTAGGAAATATTAGAAGTATTATATTACATAGGTGATTTTTCTATCAAAAAATCTGATGGAAGACTATAGGTTTTTTTGTGTTTTAGAGCTCCGATTTATGATAGTCAAATCCTATACTGCTTAGCACCCCACGTGACCTGAAAAGACTGATCTCATGGTAGGTGAAGCCCCATAATATCCAAAACTTAAAGTACTCATACGACAGTAGTTTGCAATAGATGATCTTCTGTCGCTCAATGCACCACATGACTAGAGACAACCTATCTAGTAATGAGCAAAACACCACAATAATAAAAACTTAAGTTCTTGATTAGTAGTGGTTCATGGTAGGTTAATCATACAATGCTCATAATGTTATATGATTAGAGACAAACAATTTGGTGGCAAGTAAAGTATCATGATATTAGGAACTTAACTTCTCACACATATCGACATTAAGGATATAAAGATAATTCTCAATTATCATAAGTAAAATAGATATTATTGATTATTTTTAAAATCACAAAAGTAGCCGTAAAGATGCCATCTGTTTTTTGTTCTCTTTCACACAATTAATGCCTCCAACAATTAGCGAGCTCACTCCTTCCTCCCTTGACTACACTCAAGGCCCTTTGATGGGTGATCAACTCCTCTCTTCTCTCCTCAAACGATAGTGACAGCATAGTTGACCCCTCTTCTCAGTGGATCTCTTTGGCAAGTAGTGCAATGCTTCTAGATGATATTTATGTGATTTTCGACAAGGTGTGACAT